AGCTTCAAGGAAGGAAGCTGGAATACTTGAAAATAATTTGATGCAAGTCTATAAAATAAGAGCATAATTTTGTATTGATAGGCGTGAGCATTGCTAAAATGAAGCTGAAATTTTTTCATCTTTTTTGGTGGACTCGTGATTTTATTGTTTCTTTTTTTCTTAACACTAAATTAAACAGTGGGTTGCCTATAATGCTAGTCATAAACCAGTTCAGCTAATTCAGTCTTTGACAGTCTGGAACAGAAGTTACTGCCCCGTTTCATTTTGTTCCTTTGTGTCTATGCCTACTCCACCCACCTCCTTGTAAGCTTTCTGAACGGAGGAGCTGCTTCTCCTCCTTTTCATGTCTTACCTTTTTTTTTCTCCCTTCACCTAATACCCTGGTAAATGGTAAAGATAGGAAAACCATGATGAAGAAACCTGCCTTTACCAACAGAGCTGACCAGTTCTGCACCCACGATTTTCACCACAGCGGGCAGAATGGAGGAATGAGTTGTTAACCGTTGTGTTAACAATGTTGTGTAACAAACAGATGTAATGAAAGATTAAGATGCTGTGCTCTTTGTGGTATGCTGAAAGACAGATTTCTCTGCCTGCTTGGTAGCTGCCATAACACCCTGTGCAACTTCAATGAACAGGCTGGGATTAGTAATGAAGTAATCAGCTGGACTCTCATCCAGGGAATCAGCTAAGCTTCAGTTTAGCTCGGTAATATGGCAGCTTTTTGGCATTACAGGTGTCTCAGGGTTCCTCGTCATGGGAATGGCCAGCAGCCAGTAGTCTCCAAAGAAAGACTTTCCTGACCAGCATCCCAGTCGTACTCAGACAGGCCAGAAATTCAGAGCAGGCTCTTAGTGATCAGCAAGATTTTAGAAAAGTTATTTGGCACCACAAGAGAATTTTTGAAGTGTTAGAGAAGATCATAGCTGAAATTATCCTGAAATTTAACTACACTCTAGAAACTGCTAGCAAAATGCAGCAGGGGTTATGAATGAGCTAGATACTGTCTAAAACCCTTTATCACTTTTGTCAGATGGTATATGTTTTAGAAGGATAGAACTAACTTCTTTACAAAAAATAAAAACAAAACAAAAACAAAACAAAAAAACACTGTTAGTGCAAGTAGGAAGTAAGTTGTTTATTGGTCTCTAAGAATGAACCATTACCTGCTTCTGCTTACAGGTAAACAGGACATTTTTAGACAGTACTTTTATCATGTTTCAGAATTGTTCTAAATCACTTTGAGAGTGTCTTCTACCCCTTTGGGGGAGGGCTGAGTGCGGTGTATTTGTTTTTTTGAATAATACATACACAGGTCTACAGCTTTATGTGGAACAAACAGAATATTCCTTGTGACTAATTATCTAATTAATCCTAAAAGACTTAACTTTTCTCTAATGTCTTCACTAAAGAACAATGTTTTATTTTTTCATTCTTTAACATTTATTCTAACTGCTGCTGAAGTTTACTTGATAATGAGGTTACCTACCACCATTTGCTGGTGCTGTCACATGGAATAACTGCTACAGCTGATCCAATTACTCTTCAGCTCCACTGTTTGAACCATCTGCTGCAATAAATTGATTTTGGGTCTTCCTGCTTGGAAGGCATGTCCTTTCACTTCTAGACTGTGGAAAGAGCAGGAAGAAGAAGGAAAAGAGATGGAGACTATTATATTTCACTAGAGCTGCCTTAAATTTTGAAAGAAAAAGAACCTGTGTTTAGAGGAACAAGTGTACACTCTTCAGTATGGAATTATAGATAAAAGTAGTAAACCCTTTGTATCAAAACAGTGTTACATGAATTTTGAGATGGTTAAAAAATTTTCAGCTGTTAGACATGCATCTCAAAAATTCACTAATTATTTACCTCTGGAGATTACTATCGGAACTGTGGAAGATAGAGAACTTATTTATTTGACTCACATACGGTTGTTGGCCTTCTCATATATCTTTTCACTGGACTTGATATCCTAAAACCAAGACTTGGGGGCTATCAAAGAATTTGGGCATTTGGAAAAGGTTTTGAGATACAATAGATAGGGTGCATACACATACATATATACACATAAAATTTGGATGTTAACAAACGTGTAGAATATTGTTTGACCGTAGGATTTCAAATATGTTTTTCTCTCTCATCACATAAAAAGAGATTCCCTTGTACTGAGACAACCATTTCTAATCATACTCTGCTACAGATTTTTCCCACTGTCATGTTCTTTAGCACTTTCTTTTAGTTTTAGAATGCACCAATTTCTAATTAACTTCGCAAAAGATTTTACATTAATAACCTCTCAGCAGTATCTGCACTGTAATTTCCTTTGCTGTCATCAGTTATTTCTTGTACCTTCTGAAATTTCCTATGTATGAAGCTGTCCTCATATGGGAAAAATTCAAATGTGAAAAAGGTTTTATTCCTAAAATACAAGTAGAAAAATCATGTTTACATTTTATTATCTGTCTTCTCCACATTTGAATTGGTTACTATCTTTTTTTCCACATTCTCGCTATTATTTATTTTTTATTTTCATACAATAACAACAAAAATCTAAAAGATTGTTGCAACATGTCATATAAAAAGTTTTTATTTTTTTTTTTATTTTTATTTTTAAAGCAAGAGTGGTAAAGCTGGCAAGTTCACAATGCTCTTCAGTACCACTCCCCAAATTCTTATTTCTTGACTGTGCATGCAGCTCCAGACAGAGGCTGTCAGAGGCCTGAATTGATCTCCCCACCTATCCAGCACTATACAAAGCACATCCAATTCCCTATTTTCTATGATTAAAATTTATATACATAAATATACTATTTTTATTTGCAGGAATTCTGCATGAACCTCTACTCATTAACATCACATTGAGAGACATCATGAAAATAAAGTTATAGGGATTCATAGTGCTTATCATTAGATAAAGTATTTTTCTAGTTTTTGCCAGCAATTATCATGTTTGTGGCATCAGGCAGGCAATAGTCCAATTTGCCATACTCAGTGGGTGGAGATGCAGTGCTTACATTATATACAGATACTTCTACAGAGAGATAGTGCAAGTATTGCTGCAGAATATGAGCATAAAGCTATTGTATACTTTGGTAATTGAAAAGTACCACATGACAGGGGTTGCTATGGTATCTGCAAGCGTGACATATTTATAAAGCAATAGTACAAAGGGGTAAGCAATTCCCTGGCCATTTATGAACATACATGCTACAGATATTTACTGCTTTGAAAATTAAAACAGTTAATTACATTGTTTCAGATATATTTTCTGAAAAAAAAAAAAAAAAAGTTTTCTTTTTAATTGGCTATCTCATTCCACAAAGACAATCACCAAGATTGCTGTAAAAGAGAAAGCAACATGATTTTAAGGCAACAGAAAATGCAAGTGCATAATATATCCAGCACTGCTGTTTCTGTGTGTTATAAATTGTTGATGAAGTGCCATTCCTTCATTCCTTGTTTTCATAAAACATTATTCTTGCAGTAGAGCTTCTGTGTGCTTCAGCATGCAATTTCCCCTCTCCAGAGGGATGAGAATGTGCCGCAGTTTACTTTGCTTGGGTTACACTGCAGTATGATTTTTTTTTTAGGCAAGCACTAAGATACATGTGTTTCTCTGTGTCTCTGTGCACCCACTGATCAGCAAGGAAATATAAAATATGCTAAGTAACAGTGACTGCATGCTGGATCACAAAGAAAACCTATCTGTGCTTAGAGAATGATGGGTACCATCCTCCACTGAAAATGATGTTGCTAATGCAGAGGTTTGTGAACCATTATATATTCCTACACTGCAGACATTTCAGGATATTTCTTCTAATGCATTATAAAGCTAGATAAGCCTTTCTGAATATATACTATACTACTGAATGAGTATTGTAAGAATTTTCTAGGTCCAAAGAAAACCAAAGCATTTTTAATAATACTTCATGTTTAGGATTGTTTGACATGCAAATGAGACACATCAATATTTGACTCTTTTAGAAGGTGGAAGCTCTATTATATGTGCACAGTGGAACTGAATAATGCATATTAATAAAAGCAATGTTATCTGTGGAATTCCCCAGTGCGTTTAATAGACACCCTTAGGTTGTATTTTAGTAAGCTGGACAAGTGTGACAGTTCTTAACATCATGTCAGCTCTAGACAGATATAGGGCCACATATTATTGTAGAGAACCTAAATGCAAAAGCTGCTAGCCAGGTCACAGATCATTACCAACGAGGCTATCTTTACAAAACAAGATGAATTATCATGTCCACTAGAAAAAAAAAAATAAAAAATAAAAATATATATATATATATATATATAAATATAAATTATGTGCAAAGCTATAGGATATTTCCTGTGTCAGTGACTGCAATTTTTATTTCTTTATTCCGTGGCAGAAGACACCATGAGTACCACGATCATCTGGTAGGTGTTTGTGCCCTCTACTGGATGCTGTGAGGTTTAAATTTCTATTTCAAGTCTTAATGCAGCTAAACAACAGCTAAAGGAGAGATGCTCTTTTAATGAATTTGATGTATTTATAATATCAGGAACATACATTTCTGCTTAAAAATAATGTGTGTGTGTGTGTGTGTGTGTGTGTGTAAGAAAGAGTAAAGAAGGCTCTTTTCTCAGAAAATTTTAAGGGAACCTTTCTTACTCATCTTTCATTTTCTGTGAACCACGATAGTAAGAGAGTGCAGAGACCTTCTGCTGTGAGAGTTTTGCTTAATGTTTTACATGCTCATATATGACTGAACCACTATGCTGAAACATCTCTCATGTATCAACATTAAAACATGAATATTCTTTATACCTGCACGTTAAGGAGGAAGACTGCAAGTCAACTGTCTGCCATTACGGCAAATAACTTCCAGGTATACTGGAATAACTTCAAAGAAATATAAAAGGATCAAAGTTTATTCAAATATTATAATATTCAAATCTGCAAATCTACTACTCTTTCTGCAAAGAACCAAAAAGTTTACAATTGGACTCAACAAAAATGGTGAATGACTTCACTTAACATTTTGTTTATTGAAACCATAATCAAACTGATATTGTAAATGATCTCACATACACTTCTGCACATTACCATATTCATAGTAAAAATTTTTAGATAAGCATTCCATGCTTATTACACATAAAATTTATCTACCTACCTATCTAGCACTGACTTAAACAGTTTTGCTTCAATCAGCAGAATTGCTTCAATCAGCAATTCAATGACCAAGAATTTTTACAGAACATTTACGCTACTGTTTTGTATAAGTATTCTTAGAACAATAACTACTCTGGACACAGACACAAGCACAGAAAATAAATTAACTGAAATTAGGTATAACTACAATACTACAATAAACATACATGTTGTTCTAGAAAATATAACATACTTGAGGTTGTCTTTTTTTTTTTCCCCCTCCTGTTAGCTCTATTAACCCAAGTATACAGTAGCCTTCACAAGAGATATGAAAAAAATCATTAATTACTCCATGCACATGTCCACTTGCCCCACATCCTGCTGCCTGTTTGCAACCTCCTGTGTGCCTGTAATGGCATCAGAAGTGGTTCACCCTTAGTTTTACCAATTGCTTGTTAGACTGTATTAACTTCATACAATAAAAACACAAGGACTAAAATGAGTATATAAAAATGTTATCTTTATTCTTTTGGGTTGTTAGCAATGTTGTTACTTTTGGTAAAACAACTTCCTGCATGCAGTTCACCAGTACACTGCAAGTAAACAGTTTCTGTAAAAGCAGAAGCCCATCTATATTTTCTTTTGTAAGAAATGCAAGGTATTCCACTGTCCATTATAGAAGGTCACTATTTATTCTCACAAAGAAAGATTTTGAATAGCAAATTATATTTAAAACACTAGTACTGCAGCATGAATTAATGGGACCAGCAGACAGCATGAGACTAACACGGCAAAAGTAAAGTTTCTGTGACTAAGAACAACCTGAATATTGACAGACATCAGTATGATTTCAAAAGATAGCCTTCTATCTTGTGTCACATACAAAGAACTACTTTTTTCTTTACTACTATTTCTTTTAAAACTATTCCTTATTAAAGTCTATTTTGCAAAAAATTGCAATTGCCAATTCACATTGTATCTTAGGTTTCCCAGCAATAAATTGTCACAGATAGAAAGCAATAAAAATGACTAACAGTGTGAACATATTTGTAGTATCCTCTCATATGTACAAAATGTTTAAAACAAAATTATTTGCAAAACAACATGAATAGATCAATATTGAGAGATATATATTATAAAAGTTATTTTCAATAACCCCACATTTTTATCAAGTTAAGCAATATACTTATCCTGTGTGGTCTGGTTATTCACTGCATATTATTGATTACTAAACTCAAAATAAAATCTATAATAACAGCAAACTATTGCTTACTGGTATGAGGAATGATGGTCTCGAACAGTTTTTTTACTTTCTACCATTCACTTGTCTTTCCATCTTAGACTTGAATAGCTGTAGGATAATAGCAGCAAGCATGCTAAAAGCAAGCAATGCTAAAGCTTCCCAATTATTTGGAGTATTACAGAATATATCAAGCTATCTATTGAAACGTTATAAGCTACACTTAGTAGGGTACATATTTGATGCAATAAATACAGTATTTAGGTCACTGTCTCTTTTCAAACAGATACCACTGTGTAAAACAACTGATTAAGTAACAGAGGACATTTTACTTGCATATGAAGTATAAGCCCCAATGAGAAAAAAAAAGTGATGTAAACCACAGTGCAGGACAAAGCTGATTCAAGCACATCCTTTTGGTCACCTCAGCCTTGTATGGAAGATTGCATTTCATACAGTGGAAACCTGACTAGAATGCCATAGGGGTTGAAACCACCTCCAATGTACAGGTCTCTGTCATGGTCCATTTCTACAAATTACAGAAATGTCAGCATGAGGTATACACTAAAGCAATATTTGTCCCAGTAGGTATATTGCTATCAGTTTATACATATAGCTTTTATTATTGTCTTAAATGGGTTTTATTTATACAAAATAAATAAAACCTGTAGAGATTGACTTTAGAATGGAGTTTCAAAGCCACTTATTAGTGGGTCTAAAGATTTTCTAAAAATAAATAAATAAATTTAAAAAAGATTACCACTTTATTTCAGTAATTCCCTATAGGCAAAAATTGGTGTTTACAGCTTTTCTGTGATAGAATTGTTTAAAACCCTCAGGAACTAAGTGCTATCTTGGACCCTTAAAGATTTTAGATTGTAGTTTCATATTTTTCAAAACAGGAATTGCATGTAGCATGATTTATTTAAATTATTACCTGAATAGGACTGTGTAATAAATGAAGGTTCAATAAAGAGATCAAACTACCAACCTTCTTTCTGTGAAAGTGATTTCTTCCCTTGTTTTGTTTCCTGATAAGTTATTTTTTTAAGCTCTGTTCTGCATCATTTGCTCTAGAGAGGCCCAAGAATCTGGAATCTTGTCTTTCTGCTTTTAGAAGTGGTCACTTGAAGATAACTATGTTCACATTATGATGATATAAGTATGTATTCCTAACATGTGTGTTCCTCTGAAGAGTATTTACCTTTTTCCTCAACACAGTAGAATTACAAATAATAGTATGTGAATTAAAGCAAATGAGATCACCAAAAGAAATTACACAAATGGAATTTAGCAGATGAAATGTACACAGTGGATACATTTATTCCACAAAATACAGACTTATGACTGGTAATTTTGCATCCCATTCAAGGTCAATACAGTCCAAGAGGAAATTTAGAGTCTCCTCTCCATTAATGTCAGCTGGTAATAAAAGCTACTTTTCTGGCAAGGCTGTTTCCCTCTTACATACAGGGTTTACTAATGACAAAAGTCATTATTTTGGTACAGGCACTGACTGTAGTAAATATGGGTAAATATGTAAAAATTTGTCATTTTGGCATAATCCTCCAATAAAAGTATTATTGATAAAAACATCATCTTCTCAGGCTGTAAACAGCCATCACAGACCATATATTTATGTCCTCTTTTACTTTTTATTTCCTTTTCTGTCTTTCCCCTTGTCTTCTTTTTCTGACTTGTCATCTTCATATTTTTCCTTTTCTGGTTTTGTTACACTATCATAAGAAGGTGGAGATGTGGTGGATGTAGTCATATCCATTTTCTCTGGAGGGGAGTTTTCATTTAGCTTACCAAAAGTCATACATTTTTTGCTAAGGAGATCAGCCCCATCTTTGCGATACATATATAAAAGTTTCTTTATTGACTGCCTTAAAAGATAGCATCTATAAGCACGCTGAATAATAGTAGCAGACACTTCCTCCTGTTTGCGTTTTAATGTGGTTGTGATTGGTTCATAGGAGACTTTAGAAGGATTGGCTGCCATAAAACGATCTTCCATCTGGATTCTGAGGGCATCCATCTCATCACTTTCCCCCAAAACACGCTTTGTGAAAGCAAACAAGATGTCAAGGCAGTGAATTCTGTCACCGCTTACCATGGGCAGATCCATTGCAATAAGCTGAATTGTGTTTGGTTTTGGTATATTAAGAGGAGGGTCCAGAGAAGCTGCAAAATCAGACAGTTTGTTATATTCTATGAATTGTGTGGCATCTGGATCGTATTTTTCCCAAACCTCATAGAACATCTCAAAGTCATCCTCACCCAAAGGTTCAGCACTTTCTTCAGTGGCAACACCAAAATTCTCCAAAATCACAGCAATGTACATGTTCACCACTACCAGAAAGGATATGATGATGTAGCTGACAAAGAAGAAAATCCCAACGGAAGGGTTGCCGCAGTCTCCTTTAACAGAGCTCCCTGGATGAGGTTTCTCAGGGTCACAGTCTGGCTTCCCACTGTTCAGAATTGGGGCTAACAAACCGTCCCAGCCAGCAGATGTGGTGATTTGAAATAGGCAGATCATGCTGTTGCCAAATGTTTCAAAGTTGAACATGTCATCAATCCCAGCTTCCTTCTTAACATAGGCAAAGTTGGACATGCCAAATATCGCATAGATAAACATGACCAGGAACAGCAGCAGGCCAATGTTGAACAAAGCAGGAAGAGACATCATCAAAGCAAAGAGCAGAGTGCGGATTCCCTTAGCGCCTTTAATGAGACGCAGGATTCGACCTATTCTGGCAAGTCGTACAACTCGGAATAATGTGGGGGACACAAAATACTTTTCAATCACCTTAGCTAAAAACATACCTGTGAAAGATAAAAATAAAATTAAAAGGGTAACATAATCCACAACAAAGAGTAAGAATAAAGAACAACCCTATTTGTGGAATTTCTGGAAATTTTAATTGGAGGATGAGTCAATAGTTTTTAATCTGCTATGGGTAATTTGAGATTTTTTTCCAGCACTCTTTGAAAATGTGAGTATTAAATTTGATATGGAATTACTGAGCAGGTACTATTCTCAAGTATGCTTTGCACTTCCTAAATAATCAGGAGAAATGAAAATTAAGTATTCCTCTAATCAGTAAAATTTTGCAAAGATAAAACGTTTAAAATATACCTTACTGTATTTCATTTGAAATATAAGAGTTTCTTACCTACTATTGAGAGAATAACAACCACAAAATCAAATATATTCCAGCCAATGGTGAAGTAATAATATCGTAGTGAGAACAGTTTGAAGACACATTCTCCAGTGAAAAGGACAACAAATACCAAGTTAATCCAGTATAAAATATTTTGCATCAGGTCACCCTGGTCATCTGTTTCTATCATCATGGTGACCATGTTAAGACAGATGAGGACCATAATGCTGATGTCAAATGCTTGCTTTGTTACAATATCAAATACCAAGCCTTGCAATTTATTCTGAAGGGAGAAAAAAGAAAACATATGTTGCAGTATGCTGCATGTAATTAACATTTTTTCTATTCTACTTCTCTGTTCCTTCCTCCCCCAAAACGTACAACCAAGCAAAAAGCAGAAAAATCTAGAAGCACTCTCTAGTAACTTTTCTATTTGCCAGGTTTTTTGTTTTCCCCTCAAAACACAACAGACTTTTACTTTACCATATCCTTTGATTCTGTATTTCCCCAGGCATAACAACTATGAGAGACTTTTCCTGCAGAATATATACATGTTTCCGCTTTGAAATTCAGAGAATTTCAATCAACTCTAAGGGAGACTTTTGGTAGTAAAGATACTTCTGTTACTAAACTTAGACGACACCAGAGTAGCACATATTCTTACCGTTGGTCTAGGTATAGGTTTTTGTGGTTTTTTGGAACCCAACTTCTTCATTGCATTATAGTATTTCTTCTGTTCTTCTGTCATAAAAATATCTTGACCTCCAAGGTAAAATAATAAAAAATAAAAACTGATTACAGCCAAGTATTTATATCAATTAATTTACATTTGTATGAACCATGCATTCATTCTTACGTGTTGATATTTAAAAAAAATACAGTAATTATATCAAAGATCATTGAAGTATTTTGCAAGCCTTGCTGGAAGAATGAAACAAACTAAGGAAATGAAATAGAAAACAACTTTTATCTGTTACGTAAAACAAACAAAAAACCAGAACTGGTTAAATATAATTCATTTAAATAAGTACGGAAAAACTTGTAAAAATACACATTGTATGTAAAACAATGTAAAAAACAACTTTTAAAAATACATCCATTGTATGGATGTGTACATCATGAACTCCACACTGTAAATCAATCAGTCAGAAATAAAAGAGCTTCAAAGATAGAAAGGTTCATTTAGAGCTGACAGGTCTTCAGAGAGCAACTATGAAGAGCAAGAAATCACTGACGTTAGTTAGCTATCAGAATCCTCATTTTATCATATGGGTACAGGTATCTCTGATCAGATACTTGCTGCCACAGTAGTACTACTGTGCATGTCTGGGGTATGATCATCCCTCTCCATCAATAAGGGCATCAAAAAGCATTGGAATACTCTTTGTGTTTTCTGGCCTGAGTAATGGGACAGCAATCTGAAGAGAATGCTATTAAAACTGTCGTATGTAATACTTCTTAAAATACTATTTTTGACAAGTTTTGACAACTCTTCTTCCATGCACTTGATTTCAAATACATTCCAGGTATGCACGATGCCAAAGCAATAGCATTTGAAAATGAATTTCAGTCACAGTTGAATATGAATTTGTCAAATACTGTGTCAGCCTTCTCAATCAAGTAATAATCAATCTGAACATGTGTAGCCTTTCAGCTATAGCTACACACAGATATGAAGATTTAGAAATCAAAAGGGATTTTGTACAGTCTGCTCTCCTCATAAATCACATATTGAAGTAAAATTCAGGTATTAGAGACCTAGGGTTCTGGAAAAAAAAAAAACAAAACAAAAAAAAAAACAAGAAGAAACTAATTCGTTATTATGGTCGAAGTGTGAATCTATCAGATTTTAACCAGCAGAAATTTCAAAACGACAAAAAGAAAACAAACACACACAAAATAAAAATAAAACAAAATAAACAAACAACCACAACACTTTAAAGGAACTGGCATTGAACTGGGCATTTCTTCTGCTGCCTCACTGATGACTATAAACTGCTATAAATTGTGAACATCACTGTGTCTGTGATTCATTGGAAGAACGGCTGTCTCAAGGTGTCATACACCTTATACGCCTTTGAGGACTGAAACAGCAATTTGACAGCTAGTGGAATATATTTTCCCCAAGGCAACTAATGTGCTGAATGTGGGTTGCACTCAGGGACCAAAGAAATGCACGTAGTTTAACTACACAGGGAGACTATATTGCAATATGTCTTTCCCATTCATATCCCAGCAACATTGCCCAAAACAGGTATCTTTCCATGATGTGAAGGTAAAACAAAGACAAGAATATTGCTGGGTAACCACACCCTACACGTCCTATGCATTTCTATGAGCACAGGTGCCTCTATATGCTCAAAACACAGGCCAGTAGTGATTGCTAATTAGCTGTGTTAAGTGAATAATAGCACACAAATAGAATGTTTCCCTGCCCATTTAACTTTTTTGGTGACAGTTACAATAGCTACAAAAGTACAAGGATACCACAATGCCAGAAAGACACCTTCGTATATACAGACCGACAAAAACGCCAATAGCATGTACATAGCTTCCTTAGGCTTTCTCTTGCAGAATCAGATGAAACTGAACCAACTCCCTGTAAGTCTTAGAAGCCCCTGATGTTAGTCAACATGTGTGTGTATGGGGACATCTTACTGGAGGATAAAGACGACCTCAGTTTTGTAAGCACAAACTCTTTCTTTCCCTTATTTGGGTGTGTAGATGAGACTCAGAAGATCTGGAGCAGCAAAATACAAAGCTACACACTCCAATTTCAAGTGGTAGGCTTTTTTCCATGTTTCTTTCATGTTTATGACCAAAAACCTTGTAGTCAGATATACTGGACTGGCAGATTTAAAAATAAATAAATAAATAAATAAGAATCTTAACTCCAAGGGTTAGATTTCACAAGCCATGCTGGGAAACCTCTATGATATAGGGCAAGATCTCTCCTTCTGAGGGCTAAAGAGAGAAATGGACAGAAAAATTGAAGCAAGATGGAGGAAAAATCAGAAGAAATGAAACACTGCAAAGCTGTGAGGAAAAAGAGGACTAAAAGAATTGCAAGACCAAACTTCCTATCCAAGAGACAAGTATTTCCATACACCTCAGTGAGAGAATAATTTTTTACGACAATTTATGCTCTCTCTACAGAGCACAGTGAGAGGAAAAGTACTGTCAAAGAGACAAAAAGTTAAAATCTCTCAGAATTCAAATGAGAATGTCAAAGTGTAACACATTTATTTGTATCTTAGATTACCTGAAATATTTAATCTTTTCCTGTAGACCATGACTGAGTACATTTCACTGGACTTATTCAGGAAAGATTATCCAAAAAACTTACTGTCAGGATTAGATTACTTTAACAGACCATCTGAAGAGTTTAAGAGGTGAAAAAATTGTTTTTGTTTTTTAAAGATTTTTTACAAGAATTCATTCCAGCATGCTATCTTCCATGCAGATTTCTATACATGGCATACACAAAGATTCACTGGAATTTTCCATCACAGTAAGTCTAGCAGTATCTTTCTTTGAGTACAATGAATCAAATCTGACAAGCCATCCAGAATCATGAGTATGAGCCTAGGCAATAAGTGTATGTTTCTACAAAATTATGTTCTGCCACTTAGTGGCACCCTTTTTATTAAAAAAAGTTCCAGTATCATTCTGTTTCAAACAGAACAGAACGTACTGAAAAATAAGACTACTGTATACAACATTTAAAGTTTATAGACAGCAAATAGAATTTAACTTGCCGTCATACCCAAATAGAACTTAACTTGCCATCATAGTTTGCATTTTGATCTACTTTAATCCTCCTGGAGTTCTTGACACAAACCTGTGCTCATTTGAATAACATAAACCTTTTCAGCTGGGAAAAAAAAAAAAAAAAAAAAGGCAAGAGAACACATTTTCACACATCAATAATTTTTTCTCTTACAAACTCACTACCAACTTATGACACAGTTTTCTAACTCTCTCTCATCTTGCAGTACTGATCAATAGTTTCAGGATCCTTGACATAATACATAACTTTGCTGGATGCTCAGTGACAATGAGGTATCATGAAAATGAAACATGGTGATACTTATCTTCTTTTTTTGTTGGTTGAAGTTATCTATGATGACACCAATGAATAAATTTAGGGTGAAAAACGATCCAAAGATGATAAAGGCAACAAAGTAAAGATACATGTATAGGTTATCCTCATACTTGGGCTGTTTCCCTACCTATATAACATAGAAAAACAGCAATACATCACCGATAACAGTGAAGACAAATTACAGAAGACTGAGCAGAAACAGAAGCTGCAACCAGATGGAAAGCAACAAGGAAAGAGAGAGGGGGATGCAGATTAGCTATTTTGGAGCATATCCTACACTTAATCTTTGATCTTGCAAATTTATTTAATACAGGCATCTGTGAATGCACCCACAGACCCACCTTTCCTTCCCTTTAAGTCTGCCAGCTCGTCTCTAATAGCACTTGATGTTTCATGTATAACCTACTAAATTTGACAGAAGTATGCAAGTATCAAAAGTAATTCAGCTCCTATGGATTGTATGCAGATCAGTAGTTGGACAGAGGAGAGATGCAAACAAATACCTGCATTTAAACGGGAAAAATTCCGCCATTTTAGTTTTTGAGATTGTCAGAGTGCAGCATGCAGCTCTGGATTAGCTACTGCAGGCGCTGTCACTTGCTTTATTTATTTATTTATTTTGGAAACGAAAAAAATATGATCTATACAATTGTACACTCCCAGTGACAGAAATCCATAGGAAACTAAATGTCAAATTTCACTAGTTATGTTACTCAATGTTATGCATAGGTTACTTATTAACTTATTAAAGCAGCAAAACTTTATGTAGGTCTACTTCCATATTATTATTATTTTTTTTTACTTATTAAAATTCATGCTCTTAATTACTTTATAATTTAAGATCTATATCAAAAAACACCAGTATTTTATATTTATTCTTTGTTTCTTTATTTCAAATGCCATTCAAGAAGCATCACATTAATCTTGTATTTGTTTAAACTCAGTGAATTTTACATTGCACTTACTTCTCTAGAGTCAACAGCAGCATACATTATGTCCATCCATCCTTTAAATGTTGCCTAAAAACAAAGTTTGTTAACATTTTCCATCAAATCTTTAAATAAAAAGACACCTCAAATATTGTAAACATTCTGAACTTTAAAACACTTTCTTGCAACATACTTGCACACAGAAATAGAAGGGAATATTAAGAGACAGTGGTAAGAAATGAGTGATTTATTCACAAAAAATAATTTACTGTGGTATATTATTAGTTACTAATACTTAAACAATAAACAAATTCTAGTCTTCAGGCAAATTCATATGAATTCTATGTGGAACAAGTTAAAATAAATATCTGAGTAAAACTGCCTTGTTGTAAACTGCAGTCTTTTTCTCAGCTCTAACTTTCTGACAACCAAAAACTAGAGAATGCCACCACTGGTTGGCATTTTCCAGACAGAATATGCAAACAGTCCCAAAAGAAAGTCCATAAGATAAGTAGTCTCAAGAAATCTTAAGAAAATATAAAGTTTTAAATTGTCTAGACAGACTGCTTCTGCCTAGAAAAAGTAAGTTACTATTGCATTTACTATGTGAAGGGAAGTTTTAATTTAACCATTTTATATGACTCAGAGAAATAAATTATTATTTAAAATTGCTGCAACTCTACTTTTAGCTACAATTTTACCTACACAGTCTCAAAAGTTTATATATATATAATATCTTTGAATATGAAATACCTTCCTACCCTATATAAATATATATATATATATATATATACACACATAATATATATTATATATAAAATATTATATTATATATAAAATAACTGCACTGGATTTGCATGTGTAATCTCTTTGTTGTCCAGTTCACGCACAGATTTTGTACCTCCTGTGTCTGGTAAAAATGACTGTGAGATTATTGAAAATAACCTCTCTGTGGTTCAGGATGGTGGTAAGGGAACGAAAGTTCCGCCTGTGTGATTCTACAATGTCTACATATTTTACTTTTTTAACTAGTAACATTCATAGTATATACAAAGTACAGATAAAGGGATTAAAAACAGACACCATCAATATAATAGATCTGTCTCAATACAGGCACCACTTTCTGATTGCCCTGACTGATTTTTGTGAAAAAAGCTTAAAAATTGCAGAACATGGTGTAAGCTATTGCAGGTGTGGGGTGCAGAGATTATATAGCTCTACTATCTGAAACAGGTAAATAGTATCTACTACCATACACTTTGAGATAACACATTTTAATATTTTCTACCAATATGAACATAATCCTTATGTTTACCTGTGGACTGTGGAAAATGAAAGAAAAGTTAATTATTAGCCTGAGGTGCCTAGTAGGTATAGAAAAAGTGTTGACTACAGCTTGACACTGTATCTTATTCACAACATAGGAAGAAAAAATAATGTTTCTTCCCTGGTCAACGTATCAAGTCTTCGTTAACTAAGCAATTTTCTTTTGTTTGTGACAGAGAAAAGAGGTGTGACAGTGGGCCCAGACGTCTTTTACTGAATGAAGTTACTGAACGAGTGGTATAAATTCAACTTCATTGTGTATAACTGAGTCCTTCACTGAACTATAATGCAGAATCGAGCATTTAAGTTACTACCTCCCTTTAATTATCACAAAGAAAGCTGAGAATTCCCACAGAAGATGAACTGCTTGAGTAAGAGAAGAAAAAAAGTTATAAACAGAGGTTAAGTTTACAGTACTGCAGTTAATTGACTGTTCAGAAGTATAACGGCTAACCAGGCCCAACTGAGCATTTGGACTTTTGGATGAGTGGAAAACTACCACCAATATTAAATATTTCAGATTCTCCATCTGCTTTTGCTATTCCTGTGCTGGAAAGCAATGAGCAAAAACCATGCCTGTGGGAGTCTGAGAAAAAACACATTTTTATCAAGACCTTGTCTCAGGAGAGGCTGACCAGCACCTTTGTCCTTCTACCAGTTTTGTTGATTTCGGAACAATTTAGCCTGAAATGGTGTTCCAGAAAGTCACTTTTTGTTACAAGAAACAAAATAAAAAGACTAACTATTCAAACCCAAATAGGAAGTGACTACATGTGGCAACAATAATGTTAATACTTCTTGTCATGAAAAATTTTCAGGAATTCAAATATTTCTACTGTTTATCAGATACAGTGAAATAAATCCAGGTGTGCCTAATACTCCAGGAAAATACTCCTGTCCGCCATGATATTAAGGTATAAATGTTTAGTTTATTGGAAACATTACATAGATGAACAATTCTATGCAAGATGAGTAACAAAGGCAAAGACACTGCTGTCCTCCAGATCAGTGAATTATGCAATAGCCTAGTGCCATTTAGAAATAGCTACTACTTCTCCCTTGAGCTTACCATCCTTAAGATGGTAACTTTGTAGCACAATACAAGCTACTCACTACCAGCTGGAGAGTTTAAGAGACAGAATAATGGCCAAGTGCTTATGAACACAAATGTTTTCCCAGAAGCAGTGTGTCAAGTGAACCTGATTACGAATACATGTTTCTGTCCTACTGGCTCCAATCTACACATGCTGCTTCTAAAAGAGGTTTCTGCTTTGGCAACTGCCCATCTAGAAAAAAGCTACAAATTATCTACAAAAAATAATAATAAAAAAAACCAGAAACAACACTTGACAGACAATAACTATACTAGACTAATAGGAATTATAAGAAGGGAAAGAACAGAAATGAAAAAGTGAATTTAAAAACTTTTTCCTTCATCTCCTTATCCCCATACCAGTAGTGTACTCTTTCTAATTTGAATGAGCTGTAGAATGTATCTATTTGACTACCATGGCAGAAAATTAATCCTAGTTGCATTTATTTATTTATTCATTTTTAACTAGATTTACTTCTGTAGAACTTGGAAATATAGTAATGGTTGGGTGCAAAGGAACTTTATACTCATATAACATATATTATATATTTTTCTTCTTCCAAAATTGCCATAGAATCTATCAGATTTTCACCACAGTCAATAAATAGCTTAATAGAACACATTTATAAAAACCAATCATTTATCCATGCATATATTGTAAAATAACATTGGAAATTATGGAACTAAATATTACTGCTACAAAATTTAAAGCTGGAAAATAAATTTATCAAAATTGATACACTTACGACTTGAAGCAGAGAAAGATAACCAGCTCCAACATTATCAAAGTTTACTTTCACATTTTTCCATCGAGTGCTCGTAAGATTTTTACACGCAGTTTCATCATCAACTTCTTCGGGTTTTAACTCAACACCAGTTGTGGTATTAATACACTTAAAAAACTTGCCAGCAAACAAATTTACTCCCATGATGCTGAAAATTAGCCAGAATGTAAGACAAACCAGAAGTACATTCATAATGGATGGGATTGCTCCAGTAAGAGCATTCACAACCACCTGTTAAACAAAAGAAAAAAAGCTTTCTAAAAACTGCATGCATGTGCCTATATATAAATATCAGCAACCATTTATTTTTCCAAATTAAGCTGAAAATTTAGATTAAATCATTAAAATACACTGAAAAAAAATGCCAATAAAAATAGAAATATACATAATAGAACAAAACATGTTACTACGTGCCTTGTTAACTCACATGCAGATTGGACATCCTCTGTGGTTTAATAATTTATTAAGTATATTTTTATGAATTTGTTTTACACATTAATTCATGATTTCATTTTTTCTTACCCTCATGCCTTCAAAGCGTGACAAAGCTCTTAGAGGTCTCAAAGCTCTTAGTGTTCGGAGGGATTTAATTGCACTGAGTTCTGAGAAACCAAGGGCATGAGCTACCAAGCTAACCAAGGAGACCTAGATGAAAGAATATAAAATTAACATTTTTAAATTTTAGAATAGCCTCACAATACAAGTATAATGCCTACTGGAAAGAAAACATCAATTTGGGTATCAGAAAAAAAAATAAAGTTGCCTGTAATTTCAGAACAATTTAAACTAAAAGAGACTTTAAAATCTCTGAAACTTTCATAACAGACATGTTGTTACGCATATATAAAAAAAACACATAATACTTTTACAAAATGCAGGGCATAGGCTGTGTTGAATTACATGCAACATTTTTCTCAGGTATCTGGGACAGCATACTAAATAGTGTATTTGCATTTCTCATCAGTTCTTAATGGTGAGGAATTCATCCAACATTTTAGTACAAACCACTGCAATAGGTTAGGAGGATTACTTGAAATTAAAACAATGATGTGCATCATTATATACAATATTAACAAAGACACACAACACAAAGGAATAAATAGTTTCAGAATTAATGAAAGAACAGCTGGAAAAAAAATACTAAATATGGTAAATCCATTGCATTTGTTGGTGAATACAATGCTTTACTCTTCTGCTTCAGATGTCACAAAAATATTCTCAGTCAAGCAGAAAGTGAAAACCACATGCAGTTCCGACACTGGTTACAAAGGATACATGATTAGGTATGTCCACAGATGTGTGTTACACTAAAATTTTGCAGTGAGTTCAAATGAAAGCAGTAGCCAATTAGATTCAGCACTTAAAAAATTCCAAGCATTCTTTCACTTCCATCATCAGCCCCCCTGAAGTTTGCGAGGGCATGACAATCTGGATAATAATAATAATAATAATAATAATAATAATAATAATAATAATAATAAGTTGAATAAACTCAGTCAAAACCTGTAAAGTACTAAAAACCCACCCCATTCTGTGTGCAACGTTCAAGCACTAAACAATACTCTAAGACTGATGATTACAGACATGATAAAATGTGACCCAGCAGCATTTGCTTCTACTAATTTGCACTTAGAACTAATTCACATAATAGACGATATATGAATAACTAGTAATTAATATTTCCTGCAGATGGTAAGTCGTCATGGTGGTATATGGTGAATCAGACAGGACACTGATAAGCATGAATACTAACTGTATGATGACATAAATACGAATGTTAGTACAATTACCTAAAAGCAATGCACTCAAATACATGTAACAGCAGACAGCAGTTTCCTGGAAAACAGTATCTGTGACAGTAACAAGAGTTCTAACAAGAGTAACAAGACCTTTCACCTAACATCCAAATTTTTTTTCTCTTAGAATAACTCAGAGAAGCTAAAAGGGACATTCTCTATGATCTGAGACATCACCAAACAAACCAAAGTAATTTCAGCTTCCAAAACAATAATCTAAAAAGGTAAATCAAAGAAAAATGGAAGAATTGCACTGAAATTATCCTTTCAATCCAGTAATAGTCAAAATGAGGATTGCAAAAAGTTAGGAATCATTCATTAGCAGTTATCATTAGGAATCATTCATTAGTAGCTATCACTACTTTGTTTTCCTCTAACCATATCCTTACTTCAATATCTGCCTCCTTGCCCTCCCCTTCTTTTTGTCTTCATGACAACCCGATATTCTCTCCCCACAGTTCTTCACCGGTGACTCATTAAGCTCAGGATCAACTGTCCTACGCTAACCCTATATGCTCACTTAAATCTCCCTCCCTCTCCCGTCTGGGTCTTCCTCTTTGCTTTGTCACCAAATCCAGAAGACTGAAGACCTTCCAGATGACACACCTCAATCCCTGATTGTGACCCAGAGCAATAAAACAAAGACAGAAGAAATAAAGTTAATAACATATACAGACAAAGTCAGATTTAGTTACTTATGGAACAATTACAGTGGAAACGTTCACCAGCATGTCATTTTCTCTTATATTTAACTCAATTTGTATTCATCACTGCATATGCATGTATCACGTATAATACAACCTGCCTAAACAAAAGCAACGTGCTACTTAGAGACCATAATACCTACATCAACAATCAGGAAGTCCAGCCAGCACCAAGCATTAGTGAAGTAAGTTTGGAAACCATAGGCCACCCATTTTAGCACCATTTCCAGAATAAAGATGTAAGTGAATATTTTATCAGCATATTCTAGTATGGTCTTGATAGTCTTACGCTGCTCAATATATATATCTTCAAAAGCCTGTAGGCAATATAGGTTGTATGTAAGTAAGATATTCACAGGTCTTTACAAACTAGAAATTAAGCCACAAGAACTGAAGAAAAAAAGGCAAGGTAAAATTGCTGTCATCTTTATATGTTTTACATTGAAAAGCCAGGATATACTTTTAGTCTCTGCTTATGCTAAATTTTAGACTTTATTGCCTCCTGACAATGGGATTACAATATAATGATTGAAGTTGCCAAAAAGCTTTTTGGAAATTTGAGTAATAGTCGACACAGAATGCCAATTAACAGAAGTGAATAATGAGAGAACACGAGGAAATCAGTATCTGTACTACTTCTGAAGATTATTCTAATTTACAGCAGAATAACTGTTCCAGTTACTGCATAAAACTTTTGCATGATTTTGTACGATTTTTCTAATTTCTTAAACAAGAATTTAAACAAAATCATCTCAATAAGCACTCACACATATCACCTTGTATTCATCAAAAACTAATCTGCAGAAGGTTATTTGGCAGCAGAATTTTAATAATTTATTTTATATGCACTGGGAAAATATTTTAGGAACTTCACTCCACGCTCTCTTTCAAACCATTTCTTTTTCTTTATGACCACAGATGTGTTATAACCATGATTTTGATAAAACATTCTTCATAGACACAGTTTTTATGGGTGTACTTACCAAAGCACCACTACTGAGAAGAATCATGAAGACAATGAATGTTTCAAACCAGTTGTGTTCTACTATCCTGTAGCATGTTTTTCTAAGGTTCCACCAGATTCTTCCTTTTGTGCTTTCTATATTGCCTTTACAGCATTTAAACTTCTGTATACAGCCTAACAATATAAACAATGACAAGCCACTTTAAAGGTAGAATTCTCATTATTCTGAAACAGCAATATCACTTTCATCTAGCTCCTGTTTCATGAGGTAGTCAACCTTTCAAATTACTGGATTCTGCTTAAAGCATCCTTGCCTTCTTGATTTAATATGTTGGATATAAGAAGGCTTGCACTGAAGTGATTTTTTTTTCCTACTACCCTTATACTCCATTAAGCTTAGAAACAAAACTAGTCATCTAATTGAGCTAATTCTCATTTATAAACATATTTTCTGTCTATATACAGATAACTAGGGACCACATAGAATTGCCAGGGAGTAGAAACAACATGACAATGTAAAAACTTTCACATGAACTAGTTCAAGAGTACAGAAGCTTTTTTTAAAACGACTTTTGCCTCTCAGCTACTATTTAAATAAACCACACAGATGTAAATACCTTTTAAGTTATGTTGAGGGTTGATATCTACTTCAAGAGTTGACTAATGATACATCCTTTCAAGACAAACACCTGATTTAAATAGAGATTGCAATATAATCTAGAAGCTATAAAATAACTTCCAGATTCCCATCCAAGGTAACCTAGTAAGACTTCTTTATCCATAGATTGGACTTTTCTCTTCAAAATTGAATATCCCTGCTTGAGCAGGTACATGGAAGTTATGTAAACAGTATGAAAATGTATAAATAAATGTCCAAAGGAAAAAAAAACAAAAAGATGTATAGGTATTTTAACAAGATATATTATAGGTACATTTACAATTCCAGTAACTATTTAAACTGTATGTTGAAATATTATTTTCCATTAATAATACTTTAAATAATTTATATTTTCACTAATTCAAGATAATTTGAAGAACACATCATAATTTCTCAGATAAACGTGAGTAGATGAGAGCAATATATTCTAAGTATAGTGGAGAAACTTTTCCACATGGTAGATTCATGATAGCCATTCGCAAAATAAGCCTCACCTTGTAGGGCTCCCTACCACATCATGGGACCACAAGAGTTTATTTGCGCAGCCTACAGTCTCTAAGAAACACATGAACCTCACTACCTGGCTTTTCTTTCTTTAAAAATGATTGATAAGATAGAAAAGTAACCATGTTTAAATTATTTTAATGGGTCCCAAAGGCAGTATTCTAGTTTTCCGATGAGTGTTAGGTTTGTGTCCTACAGGTTACGCTGAATTTCATCAGCTCACATAAAACTACCACCATGATGAAGAGCATGATGTTTTTGTTACTTATAATAAATAATAAATAAATTCACCTTCAACTCCTCAAAATGCCTACATATTGAAAAAAATAACTCTACACCAAAAATAACAGATAGCATGTAGTATAACAAAGAATTGTAATACAATATAAAAGTATTTGAGAAGTATAAATATTTTTACTCAAGAGCGTGCACATCGCCCCATGTTCCAAAAAATTATTTTAAATAAATACTCCTAAGGACAAAAGCACTAGCCTAAGTCAAAGATGTCTTTATAACACTACATCAAAAGGCATAGCCAATAAATACATGACAATGATAAGAGCATTGATGTAGAACATATTTTATTTTGAATGACTTTCTTTTAATCATGACTTAAATGGAAGGTAAAACGTGTAATATCACAAAAAAAAAAAAAAAGAAAAAGCTCCTATTTAGTAAAGTTCAGTAGTCTATAAAAGGATATTGCTATGCAGAACTGAAACAAACAATCTTCTAAGGACATTCAAGTATGCCATTAGACTTCTTTACTTAAATGAAAATGTAGGATCTCATTCAACCCATTTAATTTGATTCACCTGTTGCATCCCTCATTATATTTATGCACATACATGTATATTATATTATACACATAGCTTCCTGCCCCCAGTCATTAGAAAAATGTCAAGATAATAAGTCTGTTGTCTGAGTCAGCCTTTCCAAGATGTGAATCGTCCACTGGATTACTTTCTAGCACTATGGAGGGAACACAAGTAATGACTCTGATTTAAGCTTCTCAGTGAAGCAGCTCAAATTAAGTGGAGCGAACCTGGTTTACAGTTTGGTCTCACAGATTTCACTAACGAGACTGGCATTTAAATCAGCAGGAATACAGTTTGCTAAAAATCAGTTTCTTAAAATTACATCTATCACTATAAGTAATCAAACACATTTAATTTTGCATAACAAAAATGGCTCTATTGTCTTCAGTACAACCATCTAAAAAGGGCAAAATTAACTATATCCTAAGACTTAAACAAGGATATGGGACTGCATTACAGAATAGTTTCCTTGGACTGTGAATGCTTGTTTCAAACAACTCAAATGTAATTGCTAACCCCACATTTTATTTCCATACCTTCTGTAAAGCATGCCTGTAGCTCTGATGCTTTTTCTGGTTCAGTCTCAGCTTTTTCTTCTCCAAAGAGAGCTAAATTAACTGTACTGCCTTCAGATGAGCTGGAAAAATTTATCTTCTGAAAATAAAATTCCACAGTAGCAGTTATACTCTAATAATGTCAACATTTTGGAACTGTAATTAACATTAAGCATGCAACACAGTGTACAAGTAACAATAAGAACAATATTTGTCACATACAAGCATCCACATATAGCAGTCAATGCTGTTGAAATGTGCATAAATCATCCAACTTTCTACCTATAAATTGCAAGGTGTATCATGTAATCTTTCACTGAATTTCAGAATTCCTGGTCCAATTACAGTACTATGTTAGCATTCCTTGAAGCTAACTACTACCAAGTAGATTTTTTGATAAATTTATTTTGTGTTCTACTGTTGCTTTCTTAAAATACATCTCCATTGCTACGTTTTAAACCAATATGAGTTATATAGTGTGCTTTAAGTTCATTTATCTTGGTAACTACTTTCATCATAGCAGTCTTCTCGATCTTAAGACAGTAAATCCTTCACAGTAACACTGTGACCAATCAGGATAAACTGTCCAAGGAAGAAAATGAAGCAGAATTTTATGGACTGATTTTAATAAAGTGACATTTTTTCATAATATGAAAGTAAGGGAAAAAAAATCAGTTCTTTTTCACTGGCATCTTAAACGTCAGAATGATGCAAGCCAACTACTTTTTGCATATGACAAAAATTGACAATAAAATTCGGTTACCATTGACCACAGATAATACATTTATTTACTTTTGGTTTTAAGATCATTATCATCATCTAGATTACAAAGTGCTAAAGTAAAAAACAGGATTGATACAAAATCCTGTTACGGAAATGTTCAAACTCATATTCAAATCTGAACACATTTATGAAATTAATTATGCTAATATATTAATATGCAAATTTTAATAATATGCTATTTTATTAACGATATTATTTGTTGATCATAAATATGTCAGTATGTTAGCATATGATTATCGCTATCATATGAATATTTATGTTTTTCTCATATGTATTAAATTTTTCAAAAAAGAAAAAGTATGATAAATACATTTCAACTAGCATTAATTCGCATTCTCTTTTGTCAATGCACATATGTATCACACTGTGCATTCAGAAACTACCTGTTACTCTGGTACACATACCTGTACAGTTAACACCCAGAGAATAAGGATATGTATTTTAAAATAATTAAAATGATATTAATTTAAATTACTACTAAACAAACGCTAATAAAAGAAAATTCCTGAATTTATTTTTTATCTTGTCATCTTCATGTGTCTTACACTAAATCCATACTCTGGAGATTTTAAAGGAAGACCATGGTGTCCCGTACACTTCATCTGAGTATGAGTACCAAACTAAGTCAAAGTAGTTTAGGTCACAGCATTCTCTGTCAATTTACAATCTTATTATCAGAAAAGTACATAATGTCAGTAATGGATTACACAAACACAACTAAATGTCTGTAGGGATGTAGGGAATGATGTAAGCACACTTTGTAAAACAGCCTCAATTTTGTAGAATTAACCATGTATTTTCATGAATTTTCATGAATTTAGCTAGACTAGTGTGATTAAAACATACTTAAAGAGATATTTAAAATGAAACAAGACAAGTTGCGGGCACTATCCAATGGAACTATTCACAATATTTACACCTCATTTTTGAAATGATGGAGGACAAATCTATTTGAAGTATGAAATAAAAATCTACTTTTTTCTTTGCTATGTTTGTGAAAGAAGGCAGAGACTACCGACTAAGAAAAAGTAATTCAGTGTTCTGCATTAACTTTTATTAAAAGACAACTTGATATTGCCCAATTTGCAGCTACTTTAGAAACATAATAGGAAATAAAACCTCAAAGTTATTCATATTAAATGTAAACATGTCATTATCATTTTCAGAAGTACTGATTTTAAAATACCAATATTCACAATAACACTTTTCCCAAGCACAAATTCTACTGAATCTGAGAATAGCTCTACTTATACACATAATTTATTAATATGTTGCTTTCATCATTCCACGACTTAGCATATATTTTGAAAAATGCCGCAGCAGTGGTGGATAAACTGAAACAATGAATTGAATTAAAAAACATAACTAAATAATTATATATGTATAAATATATATAATTAGGAGTAAGAACATTTTGTGTCATGGTGTTAATGAAAATTAAGAACAACATAAAGCGCCCTGGGTTGTCTAAATTGTAAGCTGATTAGTGTACCATTTGAGCAGAGCCATGAATTCAACTAAAAATATATATATTTAAGTACTAACAACAGTAAAAGAAGAACCGTAAATACAGAAGAAACTGCAAAGAATCAGTGAGTTTAAAACATGAAGTTACATATCTCATTTATTCCATGGTAGAATTATTGAGATTTTTATTTTTTTAGTTTAAGAATACAATTTTCTTGACTCTAGAAGAGTCTAGAGACTTCAAATTGGAAGCTCTGTGAACTGTTTTGATATCAAGAACAGCTGGTCTGGTTCCCTCTTTCTTCTGGGGGCACTGTAGGATATAATCCTGGGCTTGAAGGATTAATTAAACAACAGTTGTCTTTTTTATATTTTATGCCCACATTTTTTACTCACATTAAGACAAAAAGTATCAAACAACAACAGCAAAAAACTCTGACACTAAAAATCAGTATGTATAGTAAAGCTTCTTGTTCTGACCAATTTAAACATTCAGGTAGTTTCTAAGCCACGCACAATGTTTGCAGAAATTCAACTGTTTTTGTGAACCACTCCAGTAAGAGGAGTTTTAGGAAAAATTCCCTTCACGTTCCAGAGCATTTGGTTGCTCTTCAAAGTTTACCAAACTAAGGTAAGAAGGCCTCATTTTATATGCACTAAGCACTGGATTGAATGGATCAACTCACGTATTCAAAAGCTGATTAAGTTTGCAAATCAACACCTAAAATATTTTTGCTCTTTAATATATATTCCTCATTAATATATTTTTTTTAAGATGAAGGTATTAGCACTGGCAGTGAAAATAACTCAGATTTTGAATATGTTAACTTTTTCAATACAAATATCTACAGTACTGGTATAAGGTCAAAATTTGGAGCTCATGATTTTTTTCTGAAGGAACAATGGCACAAATAATTACAAGAATAATTTTACTACAGCAAATAGTTCCACTGAAGCCACTTAGGATTGCTTGAGGTAATTAAAGTGTCAAACTGTAGTGAGCATCATCTTCCATACAATAAATGAAAGTGTGCAAAATTGCAGATGATGAGTTTACAGAAAACTCCATAACAAGAGTGAATAAAAAGTAGTTCACTGATCATTCATATGCTGCTGACTATTGTGCATCAACTTATAGTTCACATTTTGATATTCAAATAGTAAAGGAAAATCTGATACAGTTCCCAATTTCCAAATCAAAGAGAACATATACTACCAACACAACCGTAAATATTTGATATAAAAGGGAAAAATTATCATGTTTTAAAAAAAAGCAGAAAGAAGCTAGGAGATAAATTATCAGTGTTGCTTAAAATAAGGAGGACAAAACAATGAGCATAATTCTCTAAGAGTTCAAAGCAAAAGGCAACTATTAGTAACAGTCCTTTGGTGAATATGTTTCAGGAGTCTCCTAGTTAAGAGAACCCAACTACTAGGTAGAAATGCAATAAAAACTCTTAGCACACCTCTGTTATTCCACTTACATTCCATCAGTTGAGTATTTCCCTGCTTAATCAGTTCTATTTTCAGCAGGAAATATGTCTTCAAATCTTATTTTTCCATTTAGTCTCAGCCTGACTGCCCCACGAGTATTGAACTTTAGTGTAAGCACAACCAGTAAAATTAGGTTCATTGGGGTCTTTTCATATATATTAATAATAAAAATAGAATATATAATCATTATAGTATAATGATCATACAATATATTAACACAGTAAAGTATAAAACAATAAACAATCATTTTTATATATATTGAAGTATTTTAAATGAAGAAAATAAATATTTCTAGATAAGGCTCGCAAATTATTATTCGAAGAGTAATCCCCATATACTGTTTTTGTTTTTTTTTTTTTTTCCAACATAAAATCAAAACCTCTCTCCCCACCTCTATGTAACAGGGAAAAAAACCCGACATGCACAGAATCACAGAATCATCTAGGTTGGAAAATTCAAGATCATCTAGTCCAACATCTTTTTTTTTTTTTTAAATAAATTATCATAGTATTACCCAAGTAAAGCAGTAGTAAGATGACGCAAGAGTCAAATGAAAATTCGAGTATTTGTGAGTTAAAACATTCTGAATCTTTGGTTTGCTATTTTACACACTGTTCTGAACCTGTCCAGATTCATGGCAGTAGGAGATTGAAACAGAAGCAGAGTCACATGAACAATATCCATCAAAACAAAATCATTGTCCCATACTTAGCACCTGTAAGATAGAATCCTACCATGGTCTACTCTCTCGCACTTGACTGCCTTTTCTAAAATGGTTTGAAATATCAGTAGGAAGACCGATCATCTTTCTGAATAGCTTACAGGTTCCTTGGTCACAAAATTGAGACCTGAAATACTTGTAGTAAATAATATAATACAAAAGACTACATGAGAGATAATGCAGGATCCCACAACAAAAACACATGAAAAAATGTATTTGGAAAAGGAATACCTCAATGATTCCTAAATGGCAAGTGGAACTGCCTGCCTATTCAGAAGAGAAAATGAGGAACAGGAAATACGTAAGTTGGTAGTTTTAGAGTTCCTTAGTTTAGAGATTTGGGAAGGTACTAGTTGTTATTTTGTCTTTTTAATTAATGCCTTAATTTTAGCCTTATTCTTAATTTTCCTAACTTTAATTTTTCTTGCTTATCTTCCTCATTTTAAATTATTTTAAAATACTCAGATTTGTTTAGACACCTAAATGCTACACAGATTTTCTGCTTAAAATGTTTTGTCTTTCAAAAAAAAAAAAACTAAATTCACAAAAAACAACTATTATTGACAAAGAGCTAAACTGATGCGTTATTAACTTCCAGTTTTAGACACATGAAAACTTCATGAGTAAAACTAAATTAGTATATCTAAATTCAAAAGGACTACACATATGCATAAAAAAGCTTGTTTGATTGTTCCCAGGAGTGTCTTTCATCCTATTATTTTAGCTTCTCTTACATGAGAAAACTGCAGTGTAAATGATAAAAACATTGTGAATAGACATGAAACGATTTATGTTAAAAGATACAAGCATTTCAGCATACACAAAACTGTAATAATAAAGATCAATAGGCAATGGGCAAATTAATATGATCAGAAAAGGTTTGTAATTACATGACAGCTAAAAACATGGTTCAACAGATGAACAGAAAAAAGGGAAAATTACTTTTGCACTTTTAACAGTTTTATAACAGTTATAGGCTGTTAATCTCTTTAAACCTTGAACAGTCTTGACATTTAATTTAGTTAACAGTAATTAAAGCCTACGAAGCATGCAGCGTATGCCACAGTAGTATAGAAAATACCAAAGATGTAACAAGGAGAGAGGAACACGTTGGGGTTGCCCCCAACCATGCTGTGATATGAGTCATGGGACTCAGTGTCTGTGCATGTTTCCACTACATTGCAATGGATGGGAAAAAATATATTGTAGCTGAGTAGCATGCAGGCCAGTCAATCTCAAAAGTGATCGTATATGCATGATTTGTTTAGGTAACCTGTTTAAACATGCTGACACGTTGCTCTGCTTGGTTAAAAAGCACCAGAGCTGCGTTCTTGAATGATCCAGCTTGATTTTACTCCTGTGAGAAGAATGGTACGCAATGGAGTTAAAACATGGTACCTTTTTTTTTTGTTGTTGTTTTTTGAGTACTGGACACAGAAGAAGTATAGATTCCTACTTATTTAAATATGTGTTTTCAAGATATGTTACACGTTGGCAAAACATAGCATTTATTGTTATTGATTGTCCTTATGTAAGGACATATTAAAAGAGATAAAACTAGAATAATATCTGAAGATCACAGATGTGTATTGGACTTGGGCCTGAAATTTAAAGGAAAAAAAAAGGAAAGAAAGAAAGAGAGAGAAAGCTACACCTACAGCATGTATATTTGAGCTTTAAGAGTCCTTTAAATGCTAGTAATTAACAGAGATATATTTTTCCTTGCAATTTATTTTCAAGGTTATTTCTAGTCTTCTCTACATGCTAAACGTGTATGTAGGATATGCTTTCAGAAAGAAGCCACACGGCAAAACAAAATCAATTTACTGAGTCAAACATGAAAACTTCTGGGTAAGCAATATCAATAATTTAAGGTACATTATGGATTGTAACAGACGTTGTTACCCAATTCTTTAATATAGCATAGTGAAAAACCAGGTATCTTCAATTTCTGCATAATTTCCAGGCAAGGTGTAGATTTATCAGTTATCCAACCAGGAAAAAATTACCATCAATATCATCAGATATTCCGCAAAACCAAGATTTAAACACACTAAGGCCAGTATCCTTCTTTCACGTTAATAGTAAGCAAAAGATATAGCTGCTGTTCAGCAGCTATAAATATTTTCTGTTTCACTCTGAGGAGGTCTTTTGTTAATCTAAGATCTTCTCATCTGAAAGGTTAACATAACACACAAAGAAGTACAACCTCCAAAAAGCAGATGGAGGACATCGAGTGTCAGGAAATGAGTTGTTCAGACAGCAAACAAGTCTAATATTATTAAATACTTCATTGTACAATAAAAGAAACACTTAAAGAGTCAACTTATTACACCTTTCAAATTTAATGTAATTACACTTTGCTACAACAAGCTTATTTCTAAAATTTGGAAAGAATAAGGCAAAATCATCTTGTTCAAAACCCCCATAAACAAGAAGTAAACATTGCATTTTTTCTCATCCTGTTTATTTGGTAAATTCACCTTATAGTACTGCCATTGTTCCCTTGGCTTTTCCTAATCATTCTAACTTTAGAACTGGAAAATTTACTGCTCTGATTAGCCTGAGTTAGTACCTTGTTAGCTTATCCTATACTAATAATTCTGAGCTCAGTAAGCTTTAAAAATCAGATACGAAGGGCGTTATTATTTTAAGATAACCTTTTTTTTTTTTTAATAGCAGTTTACTTTCATCCTCACTTCATGTAAATATTATGATGATAATATACTAAGGCAGTATGCCTTATGTCTGTTTAATTAAACATATGTATCAGTTTATCTATCCACCTGAAAAATTTAGAAAACCTTGCTTTTCAAAACACTTTTATAAATTGTTTTATATGTCTTTATATAATTCTGCTTGGATTTCCTACTCTCTTTAGCTACACTTTTCCCAATTCATCACAATTTATTCACTTTCAGTCTAGTCTAACAATTTCAAATTGTAATCACTTTCCATTTCTAAGCAGGAAGAGCCATACTATGAAAGAATACAAGTGTTATATGTCAGAAGATCAAAACAATTCATTCATACAAAATGTAAACAATTTAAATCTTACCTCCTTACTTTCCTCCAAATCTGAGTCACTGCTAAACTCTTCTGTATTTAGATGTTCAAAATCAGATTCTCCAACAGCTATTGGTACCGTAACAGTAAGGCTTGGGTTGCTTATGAATGGTGGATAATCACTGCTACCTACAACACCGGCTGTTCCATTCTCATTTCTGTGATAAGTTGTATCTATCCTTATTTCAGCAATGGTACAGTTGGAAATGCAATGGTGTCTCTCATCATTCAACTGATCTGTTGCTGTTCTTTCATTTACAACTCTTTGTTTCCCCCAACAAGATTTTTGGACACATTCACCTGCTTTTTTCTTCACATAATCTATTCCCTTCTGAATTCTTGCAACAGCAATCTGTAAATTATTCATTTCGTTATCATCCTCTGTAGGAGAAAGGCTGTCTGAACTAAATGAACTCAGCAGCAAGGCCAGAAAAAGGTTCAACACCTAAAAACAAAGACAATAGAGCTGAGTTTTCTCAATTTTTCATTGACGTATTTCTTCTATCACCTATTATGAACAGCTTAGAAATGCTCTCCTCTGCTGTATATGATTCTGGAAACTAAATAGTAAATAACACGTAAATGCAACGTAAACACAACACCTGCTCTATACTCAATGCAGTTGCTTTTTGTGGTTTTACGTTGCTGTATGACTACAAAGACACTTGTAAATTCCAGTTCTGCTCATGTTTGTGAAAGGGTATTAAGGCTAGAAATTAGTATCTTTGGTACTGACTGCACAGATCCAAAATGTTTAACTTCTCTTGCACAGAGAAGCCCTCTGCAGCAAGGCATAGCTGATCTGTCCAGAAAGAGCTTTCTGAAAGGCTGGTCCAAACCCACACAAGTATTTTGCTGTATGTGACTTAAAACACATGAAGCAACCCCTTCCCCAAATCTTACTTAGCTCTCATCCTCTTCCCACTGTAAGACAAAACATAGAATAAATTTCAGTTTACCCCAGAGTTTACCAATGGCTCAAAAGTTACTAAGATTGAAGTAGCCAAGGAACTTGTATAGTAGCAGCTCAAATTCTTTAGATCAGGCTCTTCTAGGCACCTCTGAAGAAAACAGGGTAAAAAGTACATGTTGGGAATACAGAAAGACAACTGGATAATAGAGCCCTGAAAACGGAGTAGAGACTGTCTACTCAAAATAAATAAATGAAAAAAATCTGCTAGAGCTAAGGTATAAAATAAGAATACAGTGAATACTGTAAAAAATTCAGAGTTCAATACTACATTCCACAGATTTCTCTCTTGTAGTTTACAAAGCTATTTGAGCAGGATATGTTGCTTGGCAACTCATTTCATTATTTTTATTATAAGACAATAGATTTGCAGAAAATCCTGGACAAACTGGCCGTGCTACTAGTAGCATGACTGGTTTCATAATCAGCTTATTCCTATTAGAAATGTTATTACTAAAGAATGAGACCAGGATGGCTAATTCAAGAGCTCTTTTGCTGCCAACAGTTGCCTAAAGAAAAGATCTAGAACTGCATGGAAAGATTCTGTGGGTAATGAGAAAAGCAGAGAAAAAGGCTGAGCAGCGAAGGCCTCAAATGCTTAATAAATATAAAATATTTTAAAATAAATTTTTGCATGTTAATGTACAAACTGGTCTGATACTTTCAGAGAAAAAGAAGATGCAATAAAAAATGCTTTTAAAATCATAGAATTATAGAATATCCCAAGTTGGAAGGGACACAAAAGGATCATTGAGTCCAACTCCTGATGTTTATAAAAAGCACCTAAGAAGTGGCAAGAAAAAAGTTGAAGAGTTGAAAATGTGAAGTATTTCCATCTGTTTTAATGCAAAACTAGTGCCTTCCCATTCCAGTTTCCTTACCCTATCTGTGTAATGTGTTAGGAGCAAGCAAGGTTTAAAATGGCTTTATCTTCAGTCTAAGAATTTTAAAGCAGCCATTTGGACAGAAAAGAGTAGGGGAAAAAAAAAAAAAAGAAAATGAAAAATGGGTATGTGTGATTGGAAGTGTGCTTAGGAAGAAAGTCCTTTTCTGCAAAAAGCAAACTTCCATTTTGGGAGCATAATATTTGTGGGGCCCATCCTACTCTAAGTAACAAGTACTAGTCCATAAAAATCTGAACACATGAAGCTTCTCCCTCTCACCCATATTCTCTGAATTGTACTCCATATCGTGACAGGCCATTTGTTAATTTTGAGGATTCCACATAGGACCAGAAATTTAACGAGCAGAAAACTCTATTTCAGAATCCATATTCATAACATTGAAAGTCATAGAAAACATTTAAGTAACACATTTAACACTATAAACCACTTAATTTCTGGTTCCGTTACCATTCTTTCTCTACATGAATTCTCAAATTATTCTGGCTACATACCACTAGGTTTCCAATCACCATGACCATCATGAAGACAGTAAGGCACATAGGTTGGCCTGCAACCTCCATGCAGTCCCACATCGTTTCTATCCATTCTCCACACAGCACTCGGAACACAATCAAGAAAGAGTGGAAAAAGTCATGCATGTGCCAGCGTGGAAGTACACAGTCGGGGGAGATCTTGCAGACACATTCTTTGTAGTTTTTCCCAAACAGCTGCATCCCAACCACAGCAAAAATGAACACAATGATGGCCAGCACCAGGGTCAAATTCCCCAAAGCCCCTACTGAGTTGCCAATAATTTTTATCAGCATATTCAGAGTTGGCCAAGATTTTGCCAATTTAAAAACTCGAAGCTGAAAAATGAAAATACAGAGACATTATTTATAAGTAGTTATAAAAATGCTATAGAAATAAACAGATTACAGACCAGTGTCTCTTAATAATAAGGAAAAAAAAAAAAAACAAACAACTAAATAACCTTCAACAGGTTTCCAACATCCATAGCTTATACAGAAACAGGAGTTTCATAAAATCCACTCTTTTTAGGCTTATAAATTTTTGACCTTTTTATCCTTATCTTTTGTATAGCATATCTGTATTCTCTTCTACATGAGTGAAACAGCACACTAGTGGAATTTATTTAGCTAGTGAATTCTGAACACAGCAGCACATCTCAACCATTTTGTACAGAAATGCATTCAAAAAAAAAAAAAAGGTGCAACAGAATTCTGCTGAAATAAAAAAAAAGAAGATTCTGAAACCTTGAAGGATGCATCTTAAAAAGTATATTGTCTCCAGCAAACAGACCTACAGTCTGGAAATAAACCTACAGTCTGGAAATAAAAGCCAAACATAAGCCCTAAGTCAAAGCTTTCAACTTATGAAGGAAAAACGTATAACTCTCACTCTTTCCACCCAAAATAAAAACTATATAAAAACATATTTTGTTTTTGAATACATGCAAAATATGGGAAATACGTTTCTAATTTAATTTCTCTTTTTAATTTTTTTTCTATTAAAATAAAGCATTATTTTTTTGCCAAGAGGAAAAATAATCTGTTAAAATTAATTTATGAAATTTATAAATCCTGCATTTTAAAAGAACAATTTTTTAAAAAAGAATAAACTTTTGACAATTTCCACATTGGAGCAGACAGAAGACTACAAATGTTTTATTTATTTACATCTTCTCTCAGTATGCACTAAGTAAATTGTACACTCACTGTGCTGTTACCCATTCATGTTAATACAATTAGAACAGTATCACAGTTCTTTCCCTTGACAAACACTTAGCTTCTTCTGAACCACAAAATGGAACACATTATTCCATGATAACAGAAATAATTTTGTAAAACCTGTTTGCAGAGATATCCTGTGACAGTTCAGAAAAAAAAAATAGTATTAATGTAATATTAAATATATGAGTATAAAAATACTGTGTCTATTTACATGGGTACAATTAAAATTCCGAATTCCATACATAATTACAATCATTAATTTATTTACCAATCTGAATGATCGTAGAACAGATAATCCATCCACACTTGACAGAAAAAGCTCCACCAAACTAAGGGTCACTATAAAGCTATCAAAAATATTCCAGCCAACTTGGAAATAATAAAAAGGATCCATGGCAATTATCTTGAGAACCATTTCTGCTGCAAAAATTCCAGTAAAAACCTAAAAGAAGAATGTTTATTTTTACTTAATAGATGAGTATGAATAAGTTAAACCAGAAGACCAAAAATGACTTAATAGCAACAACCTTCTTACAGCAGGATGTCAATAAGGAAAATCATCAAAAGTTGAACATAACAGAGAAGTGGCAAAATCAAAAGGAACTGTAGAGTAACTCTATTAACATTTAGTTAAACTTAATGAGTCTCTAAATGCATTTAGTGACTCATGAAGAATAATCTATACCTAACGGGCCTCATGTTTGCTTCCCACATCTGCCCTATATTTAATTAAAAGAACATTCCCCAGCAAGATAATAAAGTCTCTCTTGCCACAATGGAAGCTGCTTTAGCTAACGTGTGGAAAAAATATGAATTGGTCATAAGGTGGAGAGTGATGTGCTATTTACTCTTCAGGAGAACTCACAGTAAAATTAGCACGTCTTTTCTTGCTAGCTGCAAAAAAAAAAAAGGCCAATTCTGTCAAGGCTCATGTTTGAAGCAAAACCTTTCAGCCTCTGACAGAAGCAGAAGGCAAACAATACTTCTGAAAAGGGAGTAAATTCATTGTATTTACTGTAAGTGTATGCCCACCAGCATCTACAGAACTGCAAAAACCATGTTTAACTAGAAATATAAAAAAGCTTATTACAAAAATCAAGAATATCTGTCAATCTTTCAAAGAGTTCAAAAAGCAAGAAATCAACTGCTGAAACTACACAAATACTGTTCTCCTCAAATACACCCTGAATCTTTTTTTAAGATGGCAGTATGACATGATTATCTTCCACAATGATCTCTTACACCATGTAAACAATTGAACTACCTCTGTATTGGCTAAAAATATCAAGATACAATTCCAATGTTGTAATTCCAATTAACATCTCTGCATTTAAGCCAAATGTATTCCCAATACTGGAATTTCATTTATTGTAATAACTGAATTACACCACAATCAGCAGAATTTCCACTTAAAATGAGTATAAGTGAGAAGTATAGCAGATGATCTATAGCATTGACATTATAAAAACAAGCAAAGAAATAAACCAAACCACCTACAGGCAGGATACAAAACTATCTCACAGGGAAAACAACTGTATCGACATTCTTGGTATAAGTCACAAGTTCTTTGCTTTCCAATTTATTATGGACCAGTCGAAGCAACGCTTTGAACAAAATTACAACTAAACAAAACAAAAAAAAACAAAACAAAAAACAAACAAACAAACAACAACAACAAAAAACAGTGCAAAATATTAATCCATAACAATATTCAACAGCTGGTGCTTTGGTGCTTTTAGTGATACTTACAGTAGAAAGTATCTAATTTGGCGCCTACTTTTCTTGCAAAACTAAACAAAATCAAGTCAGATTTCTCTTTTGATTTTCTGTCATCCAAATTCTGGTCATTGAAAACTCTATTTGCAGAAATGTCAATGTGGAAAATCATACACTTCAATACAACATACCTCAAATGTTATTTTTAGACTATGTTTAATAAAAATAAACCTTTAACATGTTGGATGGAACCATGTACATTATGGGATGATGATAAAAATAATAAAAACAAAAGTAATTATATTTCAAAGAGAAACAATGTTCAGACTGCATCAAATTAAATCATTTGGACTTACCTGATTTCCTATTTTAAGTGTATTGTTAAAAGCTTCAGTCATTGGATAATGTTCCATGGCCATAAACAGTGTGTTTAAAATTATGCAAACAGTGATAGCAAGATCAACAAGTGGATCCATTACAATCAATGAAACTATACTCTTCACTTTTAACCAAGGCTCCCAACAATTCCAAATCAAGAAAGTGTGGGCAAACTTATACCAGCAGGGTGGACATTTTTGCCTGGATTCTTCAAGTTCTGAGGGGAAAAGAAAAGAAATGCAGAGTAAGCAAGTTGTGAAGAAAGCGACATTTTTGTTTAGTCTGCTTTTTCATGTTTATATTCCTGGAACCATTAAGGATGTTTGGAGGAACCTTCTTAGAAATTATAGTTGCTGAATGAAATAGTTTCAGAAGACTAGAAGAAAATCAATACAGGTTTTCAGCTAATAACTGAAAAAAAATTGTCTGCTTGTCACACAACCTTGTTGTCAAAAACACCTTATTTAAATTTAAGGACACTTTCCACAGAAAAACATCCAACTTCACAGACCCCTCAAATTTCTAACTATTGATTTGCAAGAAAAATATGATTAATTTCAGCAAAAACAGTAAAAAAAAAAAAAAAAAGAAAAAAAAACTACTCAAGCTTTTTCGTGAATTTCAGTAATAATTTCACTACTACAAAAGAAATTACCACTACAAATTTCCTTCTTCCTATTAACTAAGGCCTGGCTTTTAATTTTATATTACCTTCTTACAGTATAGGTTACTGGAAGACTTATCGCAAGGCACTTCTTCCAATATGAGTAAGTAATACAGAACACATACGTTTTATGTTTTATTATACTTTTTTTTTTTTTAGTTTAGCCTGTTTATCAGACTCATTTCTGTTTTCATTTTGTCCTACCATTCATTTTATGCATTTGCAGTAGCTACTTATTTTTAGTCTTCTGTATTTTCATGTGATACAATACCTATGACTATCTCAAGAAAGTTCATTAATCTGTAGTTGTAACACACCTTCCATTGTATTTGTGATAATGCCAGCTATACTCATAGCTCTCTCTCTTAAATTGGGATCCTCCAGCAAATCCATTGGTATTTGATATGAACTTGGACGTCTCTTTTTTATATCAATTTCTGTAGTAGTGCTCTATAAAAAAAAAGGGGGGGGGGAAGGGAGGGAGATAAATATAATTCACCTTTAGAAATGCTGACAGAACAGGCATCAAAAAGACTCTTCACTTTCAATGAATTCATAATATACACAGGTTCATATTTGTGCTATGACATTATAATTTTTTCCACCTTTTTTTGTTTGTTTGTTTAAGGAAAATCTGTATTTTCAGGTATTTTCAGGTTATACTTTTGAATACTGTTAAGCACCTTATAAAATACCTTATCTAAGTCTTGACATTTAATTTCCAGAATATCTTTGCATTATAGTTTACTATTAACTTCTTACTAGATGTAAGGAAATTTTGGAGGAGGCCATGGCCAAAGAAACAAATTGATACTTCTCAGTGGAAGCATGAATTTTTCACTGGATTCACTGTGAATTTACTGGAAGTGTGATTTTTTCTGCTTCCTAGTCCCATGCTTTCTTTACCAATACTTAAATTCCAAACAAGTTCAATCATAACGTAAGATGTGATTTATGCTACGAAGTTTCTGCAATAGCAATTGTTTTCTGAAAGTAACTTTTACAGATCAGCCTTGATCTCTAATCCTGAAATCTGGAGTAATTAAAAACTTTCTTACATTGTCATCAGTTGTTGGTTTGTCTATTATCACCTCTGGCAGAAGCTGACCTGAAGGTGACAAGAGACACGGTGGTCCATCCACTAAGGAAACCACTCCATTGCAATCCACAGTGCTATGCATCTTTCCATTCAATGGAAAAGGTGTCGGCCTTCTTGACGATCTGCTGGCCTGGCTAATGTTACTACTGCGTCGTTCACTGTGTCTGAGCGGCACAAAAAGAGAACCTCTTCTGCTTCCATTATCCTCAAATGTGCTGTGCTCATCATCAGCAAAGTCATTTTCAGATCCTATCTCTCTTCCATGATCTCTAAAACTGAAAAGACTTGTTCTGCTACTACGTCTGGGAGAAAACAGGGAGCCACGAACGCTTAGTAAAGACTGTAAAGGAAATAAACAAAGTCACCAGCTGAAGATTTTAAATATACAGCATCCATATCTATTTTATACATATATCTATTTTATATATATATATTTATTTATTTATATATTTATTACATATATATATATATATTCCCCCAAAATATTTCAGCTTTACTCTTAATACAGTGCCTTAGATAGACTTCAGGCACATGAGAGATGAGAATCATCTGAATGGGTAAATTTACAGTACACTTAAAACAATTATCAGAGAACAAAAACTGAACATGCATGAGGCTATAGCAGTTTCCATCCCTGTATTATAGAGGAAATAAAGGCTTAATGCATCATCTACATGGATCATTAGAATTCATAATGTCAAATTACATTGTTTCATACTTCTATGCTGATGCATCACACTTAAATTTTCCTTTTATGAATTAAAAATGAATTTCTACTTCAATTGAACTATGCAAATGTACTACTGCTGTGCACCATGTCGAGACCCACCAGATCCCAAACAAGAAAATAACACCCAAACTCTTGTTTGACATAGTTGGTAAATAAAGTAATGCAAATTATTTTTCCTAGGTTGTATTACTTTACAAAGTTACAGCAAAGTTTGCTGCATATTACAGTTATCATAAATCCCAACAACATAAACTGCACTAATCACAGTACCTGGTGGGGTGATGTGAGCTGTGTTCCATAAGCAAGTTTGTTCCCATCAAAAGAAAAACGGAAACCTTTCCTTCTGATACTGCCATCTGATTCAGATTTTGAAAGCTTTCCCTCTTTTGTGTTACTCTCTTCTCCAGAGAGTTCCTTTTGCCTCCTTTTCTTCCTTCTATTTCTCCTTTCTTTGGCACTTTTTGAGCTAAGCTTGGATGCTTCTGAAGAACTATCTGAAGGTCCACCAATCCCACTTTCACCACTTAATTCTGTCATCTCTGCTGCAGCTGCTGCTATTGCCTGTCAAAGGAATTATTTAATTTATTTTATATTTTATTATTAATATTATTATATTTATATTTCATGCAACATCTAAAACATATGTGAATGATCAAATGCTTTAAAATTCCACAATCTTTTAAGAATGCTATAGTGCCTGTTTCTGAGGTTTATACCACATGACTTGTAAATGTGACAAAAGCCTAGGTGGATTTGAATTTAAAAAAGAAAAATAGCAGTAGATTATTTTTTTTTAATTTCAGTAATTGCAATTGCATGCAAAAGAGCTGAATGCAGTTATACTACGTTAATACAGTCTGTATTAACTTTGTAAACTGATTTTAGCTATAACTATGAACAGCTTCCCTAAGCTGCTATTAGGGAAAAACTCTGGAGGTATTACTTGCAGCTTGCAGTCTTAGATTCACTAGTGATAACACAGGTAGTATAAGTAAGTAAAATTTATGAACAAAAACATTTTTAACTTTAACCAAGGCTTGAGAAACATTTCACAACTACTAGAATTACTTTTAAGTTGAGAATTTGAGAAATTCACCATACCAGGTTACTAGATACTAGCTCCTGATAAGAAATGTTTATTAAAAAAAACTATTATTCCAATTTGTGTTTTCTATTCTCAGATCAGAAAATCATTAAAACTTTAGACATTAACCTTAAAAAAGAAATACACATTCCTCTATATATTTCACAAGTATTTTTAGACTGCTTTCTCCATGGCTTCTTATTACTTTTAGAATATATTAGATAATTGTTGGGTTTGTTCCAAATGAATCACAGAATCACAGAACGGTCTAGGTTGGAAGAGACCTCAAGATCATCAAGTCCAACCTCTGACTTAACACTAACAAGTCCTCCACTAAACCATATTGCTAAGTTCTACATCTAAACATCTTTTAAAGACTTCCAGGGATGGTGACTCCACCACTTCCCTAGGCAGCCTGTTCCAATGCCTCACAACCCTCTCAGTAAAGAAGTTCTTCCTAACATCCAACCTAAAACACCCCTGGTGCAACTTTAGCCCATTCCCCCTTGTCCTATCACCAGGCACGTGGGAGAATAGACCAACCCCCACCTCTCTACAGACTCCTTTAACGTACTTATAAAGAGCGATAAGGTCACCCCTGAGCCTCCTCTTCTCCAGGCTGAACAAACCCAGCTCCTTCAGCCGCTCCTCGTAGGACTTGTTCTCCAGACCCCTCACCAGCTTCATCGCCCTTCTCTGGACTCTTTCGAGCACCTCCATGTCCTTCTTGTAGTGAGGGGCCCAAAACTGAACACAGTACTCAAGATGCGGCCTCACCAGAGCTGAGTACAGGGGGACAATCACTTCCCTAGACCTGCTGGCCATACTGCTTCTTATACAAGCCGTATACCGTTGGCCTTCTTGGCCACCTGAGCACACTGCTGGCTCGTATTCAGCCGACTATCTACCAATGCTCCCAGGTCCTTCTCCACCTGGCAGCTTTCCAACCACTCATCTCCCAGTCTGTAGGTCTGCTTGGGGTTATCGTGCCCCAGGTGCAGGACCCGGCACTTGGCCTTGTTGAACTTCATGCAGTTGACCTCAGCCCATCGGTCCAGCCTATCCAGATCCTCCTGCAGAGCTTTCCTACCCTCGAGCAGATCGACACACGCACCTAACTTGGTGTCATCTGTGAACTCACTGAGGGTGCACTTGATCCCCTCATCCAGATCATCGATAAAGATATTAAAGAGGACCGGCCCCAGTACCGAGCCCTGGGGAACGCCACTGGTGACTGGCCTCCAGCTGGATTTGATTCCATTCACCACGGCTCTTTGGGCCTGGTTATCCAGCCAGTTTTTAACCCAATGAAGCGTACGCCAGTCCAAGCCACGAGCAGACAGTTTCTTGAGGAGAACACTGTGGGAAACGGTGTCAAAAGCCTTGTTGAATTCAAGGTAGACCACAACCACAGCCCTTCCCTCGTCCACCAAGTGTGTCACTTTGTCATAGAAGGAGATCAGGTTCATCAAGCAGGACCTGCCTTTCATAAACCCATGCTGACTGGGCCTGATCACCTGGTTGTCCTGTAAGTGCCACGTGATGACACTCAAGATAATCTGCTCCATGAGTTTCCCTGGCACTGAGGTCAAACTGACAGGCCTATAGTTTCCCGGGTCTGCCCTCCGGCCTTTCTTGTAGATGGGCGTCATGTTTGCTAGCCGCCAGTCAACTGGGACCTCCCCCGATAGCCAGGACTTTTTTATAAATGATGGTAAGCAGCTTGGCCAGCTCCTCCGCCAGTTCTCTCAATATCCTCAGGTGGATCCCATCTGGCCCCATCGACTTGTGCACATCCAAGTGCTGTAGCAGGTCGCCAACCATTTCTTCATGGATAGTGAGGGCCACATTCTGCTCCCCATCCCCTTCCACCAGTTCAGGGTACTGGGTATCCAGAGAGCAACTGGTTTTGCCGCTAAAGACTGAGGCAAAGAAGGCATTAAGCACCTCTGCCTTTTCCTCATGTTTCATAACTAAGTTCCCCCCACACCCAGTAAAGGCTGGAGATTCTCCTTAGTCCTCTGTTTTGCATTAATATATTTGTAAAGACATTTTTTGTTGTCTTTGACAGCAGTAGCCAGATTGAGCTCCAGATGAGCTTTGGCCTTTCTAATCTTGTCCCTGCACTGCCTCGCAACATCCTTATAGTCCTCCCGAGTGGCCTGCCCTCTTTTCTAAAGATTGTAAACTCTCTTTTTCCTGCTAAGCTCAAGCCACAGTTCTCTGTTCAGCCAGGCCGGTCTTCTTCCCCACCGGCTCATCTTTGGGCACGTGGGGACAGACCGCTCCTGAGCCATTAAGATTTCCTTCTTGAAGAGCGCCCAGCCTTCCTGGACTCCTCTGCCCTTCAGAACCACCTCCTAAGGGACTCTACCAACCAGTGTCCTGAACAGTTCAAAGTCAGCCCCCCAGAAGTCCAATACAGCGGTTTCACTGGTCTCCTTCCTGGCTTCTCCAAGAATGGAGAACTCTACCACTTCATGGTCATTCTGCCCAAGACAGTTTCCAACCACCACATCTCCCACCAGTACTTCTCTGTTTGTGGAGAGAAGGTCTAGTGGGGCACCTCCCCTGGTAGGCTCACTAACCAGCTGTGTCAGGAAACTGTCAGGAAGCTATCTTCCACGCTCTCCAGACACCTCCTAGACTGCTTTCTCTGGGCTGTGTTGTGCTTCCAGGATATATCTGGGAAGTTGAAGTCTCCCACGAGAAAAAGCGCTGACGATTTCACAACTTTTGTCAGCTGCCTGTAGAACTCCTCATCAGTCTCCTCATCCTGGTTCGGCGGTCTATAACAGACCCCCACCAGGATGCTTGCCTTGTTGGCCTTCCCACTGATCCTAACCCATAGGGACTCAACCTTATCATTCCCAGCCTCAAGTTCTGCGACATCAAAACTCTCTCTGATATAGAGAGCCACACCACCACCCCTTCCATGCTGCCTGTTCCTTCTGAAGAGCCTATAGCCAGACATTGCAGCACTCCAGTCATGAGAGTGGTCCCACCACATTTCCCTGATGGCAACCAAGTCGTAGCCTGCCTGCTGCATGATGGCTTCCAGCTCCTCCTGTTTGTTACCCATGCTGCGTGCATTACTGTAGATGCACTTCAGTTGGGCCATTGCCTTCTCTCCCAGCCTTGCCATTGTTCCCCCTGGCACAGCTCTAACAAGCCTTGTTTCAGCCCCATCCCCCTTCTTACTTAGTTTAAAGCCCTCTCAATGAGTCCTGCCAGCTCCTGGCCTAGGATCCATTTTCCCCTTAGAGATAGGGACCCATCTGCGGCCATCAGGCTGGGTGCCGAGTAAAGCGCCCCATGGTCAAAAAACCCAAAATTTCTGTGTTGGCACCAGCCTCTGAGCCACGTGTTTATCAGGTGGGCTTTCCATGTCCTCTCTGTACCCCTCCCTGCCACCGTAGGGATGGACGAAAATACCACCTGTACTCCTGCTCCATCCACTAACTGTCCCAGTCCCCTAAAGTCCTGTTTTATGGTCTTCAGGCTTCTCTCTTCAACGTCATCACTGTCAGCCTGGACTATTAAAAGAGGATAATAGTCAGAGGGGCAAACCAGGCTGGGAAGCTTTCTGGCAATGTCTCTGACCCTGGCCCCAGGGAGGCAGCAGACTTCCCTACGGGTAGGGTCAGGCCGACAAATAGGTCCCTCTGTTCCCCTGAGAAGGGAGTCACCCACAACAATCACCCCTTTTTTCTGTCCTGGTGGAGTCAGTCCTGAGGCATGGAGTTGACTTCCTAGGCATCCTCCTGGGTAGACTTACTACCTCTTCCTCAGGTACCGGTCTCTCAAGCTCCAGGGCCTCAAACCTGTTGCGTAATATCATGCAAACATCATGCAAAGAAATATGCTAAGGCTCAAATTCTTTTTAGAAAAATACCTGAGCTTCTTCTTGCTGCTTCTTCAGCTGTTCAAGCATATGCTGCAAGTCTGCCTCCCTCTGTTCTGCCTCAACCATAGTTGCTTGGTTCTGTTCTTCATAGGCCATGGCAACCACAGCCAAAATTAAGTTAATCAAGTAGAAGGAACCCAGAAAAATGACCAGAACAAAAAATATCATGTATGTTTTGCCAACAGCTCGTAACGTCTAGAGGGGAAGAAGAAAAATGATCCATGTGGTGAAGACATGCATCAATTCTGCAATTCACAAACAGACTGAATATTAAAAAGACACTTTTTAAAAACTTTTAAATTACTAAAGATAATACTTGTTAAAACCAATTTTCACACACATGAAAAAACTATGGTGAGAGAACTAATTTATACAAAGACAAATTAAGATTCATATTTTGCTGTGAGAGAATATACATTGTACAAATGAAAGAAAGGATCAAAAAATGTACGTACCTCTTCAGAAATCATGTGAGATTCTGTACTAAGAACCCTTGTCTGCTTAATTCTGCAACTGAATTTGCTTTCTTTCATAAATACTGCACTTTTTCAACTGCTGTCAATAGCTGTGGTATGTAATATAAACAAAGGCCCTTTCTGTGTTTGGTTTGGGGACAGCTGGACACAATGATTTTATCATATACTCACCAGCTGATAAAGATTTTCCCAGTAGTCTTGTGTCATAAGTCTAAACAGGGACAAGAAAGCCCAACTGAATGTGTCAAAACTAGTATATCCATAGTTAGGGTTTCTTCCAGCTTTCACACAGATAAACTCTTCTGGACATTTACTAGGGAAAAAAAAAATTGTAATGTGTATGAAAAAAATGTATCATTAAAATGCTTTTAAATTACTGTATCTTGAGTTTCCAATAAAGATTAATTAGACCTTATCTGTCAAGGTAGCTGCTGCTATTTGTGGCTTACATTTTAAAAACTTTTGAGGAGAGGAAAACGGTGCTCTTTTTTTCTAAGCCAGCAAATGGCAAACAAGTAAATAAAAATCTTTCTTTCAAACTTCTCACCATTATACACAAAATAAAACTTATTCCTAACAGATCAATATTATATCTGCAGGTGCCTCTTCAATGGAGATAATATTTTTGATTAATACAGAGGTTCCATAAATTGAACACTTCCATGCAAGAGAAAGAGTTGGTATAGATATTTTTTTTGTTGAATTTTTCATGCCTGCAGGGTTGGTATACCAGGTTTCTTGGTTCCTTCGGGTTTGTGAAATAGTCAAGTCAAGTTAACAATTCCACAACAGGAAATAACTGCCAGAGATATTATTTTAAGCTCCTGAAACTCTACGTATCAGTTTTGATAGTAGGTGATCCAATTCTGTGGGCACAGTATCTCTGTTATGATTCTATTCCTGAGGGTTAGAGGAGGTTTTGCCAACAATAAACTTCATGGAAAGACACTATAAAGATTTCTTTCCATACATGTGTGTGTGTGTATATATGCATATATATACATATATATAACATTACTTGATATTTACACACAAAAAGTTTACAAAAAAAAGCTTAAGTATATCTGTTTTAGACATAATTATCCAAAATAAGGGATGGACTGATATATCACTATCATCTAGTAATGTTATTTTATTACAAAGAATTGTTGTAAAGAGAGACCAAGATAGTGCCATGCATGAAACCCACAGACAGAAGAATACTGAATATTGTCCTCCCAAAAGTCAGTCTTAAAACACAGTTCCCCATGCCTTTTTTAGAGATGTGAAATGACTTGAAGTCTTTGAAACAGAAGTACGCTCTCAAGTTATTGATAATGCAATATCTACCTGCTGAAATAGTATTTGTCTAGTTAGAGTTTTTAATTTTGCCGCAAAGTATTTTCTCACTTAGTATTTTTACTCATTCAAGTATTTAGTTACTATGAACCATGACCATACATTTTTCATTATGGATTTAGGTAGCTAAATTAGCTTTTTAACTTTATAGTGGTATTGTTTATGTTTTGTTTAAATGGGTGGTATGTAGTTTTCATTGCATCTTACCCTGCATCTGAGCTATTACCACAAAGCAGAAAATCCTTTTGTCCTTCTAGACGATAAAAATGACCTAAAAGAAAAGAAATGCTAAATTATTACAATTAAGGCAAGGAAGTACTACACTGAACTACAGTAATGTGTCAGAAGATGCAATCTTGATTTGTTACACCCCCCACCCCCAAATAAAACCAAAAAACACCTCTTCCAAGGCCAGAGAGACTTTGGTGTCTCCATCTTTGGAGACATTCAGCACTTTCCTAGACACGATGCTGAGAAGCCTGCTCTAACGACACCTTGCAGCTGGACCTCAGCAGGACTGGATGACCCCAGAGGTCTCTTTCAATCTGCATGATTCTGTGATTTCCAACCTAACCCTACAATTATGTTTCAAAGCGCAGTTAAATGAAAAAAAAATCACATCAGTGTGAATTTGGGAGGCAAGATATAAAATATGTACTCATTGTCATCCTATTTCATTGATACTTATCTTCATCCTATAACATGACATGGTAATCTAACGTGTTTGTGCACGTATGTGTGCTTATACACTAATACTTCAACACATCATTTCAGCAGTGTTTCTTACTTTCATTCTCAATGTATGCTGTCCAGTCAAACTCTGTACCATTAATGTACGGAGCTACGTATTTTTCAAAACTCGTTGAATTTTTTGATGGCCATAACAAGCATTTATTCTTCAAGTTGCCCATGAACAGCTGCAGTCCTATTAGTGCAAACACACTCAGGCAAAATACAGTCAAAATCATTACATCTGAGAGCTTCTTCACAGACTGAATTAACGCTCCCACAATAGTCTTCAAGCCTGCAAACAGAGGCACATTTTCATTAAATATTTACCTAAGCTAAAATACAATGTGGATCGCTCCAACACACTATTAAACATCATGCACAGCTGCACAAGAATAGTCTTAAAATATTTTTCAAAGGAAAAAGATATCACTAAGTCCCATAGCTCCTGATAAACAAATCGGAAGCTATGAATGGTATGCATTCCAAAATACCTGTTCTACAAATAAGTAGCATTTTTTACTCATGCTCCCTGTACATGTTAACTACATGTGAAGGGAGCTATTCCGGTTTTATTTTCTGCTTGATGCCTCTTCCTCCAAACCTGTGCCAGTGTCCTTATCCAATTCACAATATATTGGTTCTATAACAGCAAACAAAAAACAAAACACAATTGCATTGCAGCGGAGATTTTAATGGTACCATTATAATGTGTCCTATTCAGCTGGAGGTGATTTGGTGAAGATAGGCATCTCAAGATAATAAATAAAGCATGCAATCCCGATGCTACTCCTTAATTTCTTATTCTTTTATCGAGGTTTTAGCTTTTAAAATACATTGAAATTTTCAATCTGAAATGTCATTTATAAATGGTAGTATTCAGATTAATAATAGAAAAATGAGAAGATAATTAATTTTGATCTTTATTGTGGGAGAGAAAATTTGACATCATGAAATAGAAATTATAGTCTACGTAATACATGGGCTATATAATTCAATTTCTCATGCATGAATTTATTAAACTCTGAGGCTGAGTGTTTTAGAGAATCAGAAAAATAATCAAGTTTAGTTTAGTTTAAGTTAAGACTGGAGCCTAAATCCTGTTAAAAACATGAATTCAGCTTCTGTGAAAATTTCAATCAGCCTCAGTGTTTAACCTCGCTCTCACCTGGAATGACTGATATTGTTTTCAAAGCTCGGAGAACTCTGAATGTTCTCAACGCTGAGACATTGCCCAGGTCCACAAACTCTGTCACATATCTGTAGTGAGGGATTCCACACACAAACACAATGACAGCACACACAGAATTAAACAGAGGTGATGTAGAGAGCTTACTATGTTACACAGTTACTTCTTACCTGGAATTACAGAAATAGTTTTCAAAGCTCTCAATACTCTGAAAGTTCGAAGAGCTGAAACATTGCCTAGGTTTACAAACTCTGTTATATACCTGTAGAATTAAATCACAGTTACTCAGAATTAAGATAGAGTGTATATTACTTACCTGGACCTGTAATCCAGACTATTTTTTAGGAAGGGTGAACATTAAATGAAAGACTTACATTTATATTTTCCTGTTTCAATGGAGTTTTCCCTAGGAAGCATACCCTTAAGTATTTCCATTGAATGTAAATTAATATGAAACTGATTACCATGATTTTATTGTTTAAATATACTTTATACTTTATAACAGATTGTTCAATTGTAACTTCTCTTTTGTACTGTGCAATAGTCCACTAATTCTGCTGTGTGCTAGATCACGGTAAACATTAAAATGGGAGAAGTTGAAATGCATTTCGACTATAATTCATTTTAAATGAGCTAACAGAACCCAAACAAATTATTACCATTTCAGGAAAAAAAAAAAAAAGTTATGGCTGGTATTTTACTTAAAGTAAATAAATGTATACTTACGCAAAGGAAATGACAATAAAATCAAGCCAGTTCCAGGGGTCACGAAGGCAAGTAAAATCATCTATACAGAAGCCTCTTGCAAGGATTTTTACCAAAAATTCAAAAGTATAAATACCAGTAAAAGTGTACCTATGAGAAAACATCAAAGTAAAAGTTTAACATTGTCATTTAATGATATAACAATATAGAAATAACAGAATAACACTCAAAAGCCGTGATTATTATTAAACAGACGGTAATGGTAATTACAAACTTACATCAAACATGACTGTTTTCCCACCATTCTTCTGCATAGTTATGGGATCTTTACTTTTTAATCTGAAACGTATTTGTGCAGTTTCTGGCACGCATGGGTTTGAAATTTGAATACAAAGTAGTAATACAAATACGAAGAAAATATTTTTTTGTAAGTGAAAATTTCAGTATGGTTGGCATTTCAGAAATAAAATCCACATTTAAGTGAAACTTAGTGTTTACTACCGCTACCAAAGTCAGACTTTAGAATGTCTAACAGTAATCCTCATACTTTGATATGAAAAGCTTGGGTGTTAATTTTTTACATTTTATTAAGCATTAAGGTGATTCAGTAGTGGCTATTCAAAGCATCTTACTGAAAAGCAATAGTGTCAGTTTTATAGGATTTTTCTTCTTCTTCTTTTAATAAAAATGCTAACAGAACAGCTGAAAAGGGAGAGAGCACAAAAACATTACAAGTACAAAAATTATGATCAAAAGGATTAAATCAGTTTTATTCAGGGAAAAAGGGTAACAATATCACAGCTTTTTTTCTTACAGCCTGCAGGCCTGTAGTGGTTTGAGTTGCAGCTAGTATTAATCAACAGGCTAGAGAAAGAATACCAGTTTGCACATGATATTAAGTAAAACCACACAGCTTAGCTCTTAATTTAGCTTTTCATTTTAAAATCATTAAAAAAAATAATATATATATATTTATATATAATTTTACTTACTCCACATTCTTTGTCCATTCTGGTAGTTTACTCCATGTCATGAATACACAGTTTGTCAAAATAGTGAGCATAATAAGCATGCTGAACAATGTTGACTGCAGTTAAGGAACTTACACTTTCCTCATGCTGAATATGCATCACACAAAACATGAGTAGTTGACCGGGCTTTAGAACACTAACAACACATACAATACAAATCAGTTTTAAATGACTAAAAATGCCATATTTAAATCAAAGATGTTTCATATTAATGATACTATTAATTCTGTAAACTAGGTATACGTGCTAGCCTTCATTCATTTTGAGAGAAAGAATTAAGGGGATGAATACATTTAAATACTAAAACCAACAAACATTGTAACATATTTCGAAAGACCAGTAACTATTATGTTTTCGTTTTAAGCAAACTAGATAAAAAGGATATGAATGAACTAAAATCTTAATAGCTATTCTTCTAATAATATTGAAAGGAGATAAAAGGTACAAGGCAGAGGTGGCACTGAACCTGAAGATTGTCTTCCCTTTATTCAATACTATAAATGTCTTTAAAAAAAAAAAAAAAAAAAGAGAGAGAGAGAGAGAGAGAGAGAATAGGAAATTAAGGATATGTTTGCAACCTCACCATAAATAGAGGCTGCACTTACACAGATGTAAGTAGCCAAATTTATTTACAATAAAATTATTCAAGCAAGTATCTGATTGTGTATTTTCTCATAAGCAAGGAAAACTGAAAACCATACATTCTTTTTCTCTGTGCTCTTAATGTCTGCATTTCAACATTTTCCTGGATTATGTAAGTGAAGAATATAATTAAAAAATTGTCCTTTTAAAACAGTAAAAATGTGTGCAGCTATATTGTATGCACTTCAGATGAAACCTGGCAGTGCAAAACACAGCACCTTATCAATCATTTTTGGAGACTCATCAGCAACTACTTAATCATTTTTGCACTTCGAAACTGCTTCTGAAATTAGATATCCTGGTTCTTAAAGACTTTACTGCCTTTATTGTCTGAGCAGTTATTTCTATTACCATTTACACAAACATTTTTGATTTAGACTAAAACTGTTATCTAATGAAAACTTAAGTCAGTATACATTTTATGATAATTTTCCCAAATGACAAATATCTGGAAATAAGTAGGTTTTAATATTGATTCTTCCTGTTGTATGCCGATATTCTATTGTAACAGAAATGGATCATTTGACAGTAGAGCTCATGGTGTAGAAACAACAACTAAAGTAACTGAAAACACTATACCTAATTGTTAGTCTTCAACATTCTGTACTAGAAAAATACTGCTTTAACCAAGTTGCTTCATATGGAAGATGGTAACCTGTTTATTATCCATTCTGTGTTTCAAGAACCTATTTTGTGTTTTTAATTCAAACGTTTTATTGATTTTCACAATGAAATAAGAACTTGCTTATTCTGTACTGCCTTTTTAAAGTAAACTCAATTTTGTTTTCATTTTGAACATCATTCTGCTTCTCTTTTCATCATCTAAGATCTATACTTGCTAAAGCCACCACCCTTGATCTTGTCTCCTTTTGTTAACGGTTTCTCTATAAAAGAAACTCAGTTGCATTATAATAGATGAATATGCATCAATTTATTTTTCATTTTCAGGTCTATTCTGGACCTATAACAAGGCTCAATACAGAAACAGGAAGTAGTAGACACAGTCCTATTTCAGAAGAGGATGTGCTACTCACGAGTGTTTTTATACTGTTTTGCAGACATTTTGTTGTTGCTGTTAATGAGCCACAAAATCTCTTTTACATTAAACAGAATTAAAAAAAATATATAAAAAAAATTAGGTAATATTTCCAAGAAAATTCTGCATACATGCAGATATAAAGTGACTCTTAAAGGAATGATGGAGAGACTTTAAATAACTTCCTTGCACTGTAACATAATATTGAGGGCACATGACCTCAAGATGTCCTACCAATTACTGTCTTCGTGTTCCTTGTGGGGCAGCACTGGGAAGGATTACTTACTAGTAAATTGGTATTAAAATCATCAGGAAAAGCATAACTGGACAGAAAATCTAGTCAGACTCAGAAAAAAAAGTGCAGTGATCCTAAAGCAAAATCAAGCAAAATGAACTCATGTCTACACATGAGCTGTTACCTATCCACAGAAATCATATCATATGAAGCTGGCAACATGTGCTAATAATCACATTTTTATTTTTTACTTATGTCCCTCCCTAGTCAAGTAGAATTTAACAAGTAACTCCAGGTGAGTTTTGTAGTTTTGTTTAGCTTTTTTTTTTTTTTTCCAAAATATTTCAATAAGTTTTTAAGGCATGTTTGACAGTATATCATATTGGCAGGTGACAGACAGAACAAGCACTTCATCCAAAGTAAATCTGTTGCTAGACTGGAAGATAGTGCAAGAATTCTTATAATATCTAATAATTTAATTCTCTGAGGAAAACAAACCAAAAACTTTAGCTGCTTAATTAGTTTCCTTCTTAGCCTGCTGAACTACATCTTAGTACCATGTTTCCTCAAATCCCCAGTAACAGAGTAGCCAGAGAGAGATGAAGTTTTCCAATGCTTCAGCATTTCATCAGATCTGAAGAGATTAAAATACATTAATACAAAATCCATTAACACAAAAACATCATAAGGAAATCTTAGATATTAAAAAAAAAATCATAAAAAGTAACCTAAGTAGAAGACTCACCATCATATTTATATTGCATTCAAAATGATTAACATGGTATCATAGACTTTTAAATACTTTCAATAGGGCTTCTGACTACCTTCAACAGGTAGTAAACTACAGCATTTACCACTTTGTAGTTCAACAGGTATATTGTAATTATAATCTTAGTAAATGCTTACTTTTTTATTGGCATAATATGGATCCAGGTCCTCCAGGGGCTCAGAAACCATTTCTGGAGGAATATCACCATAAATAAATGGCAGCGTCTTTCCTGCCTCCAAGTCATTACTTGGCTTTTGATGATTTTCTTCATGACCACCATCATCTTTATGCTCATCTTTGTCACGGTTAGACTTTTCATCAGCAATACGCTTCTCAATAGCTGCAAGAGACTCTTGGGTGAAAAGGAAGAAGCTATCAGATCCTGGTGGTACAAACATTGCCTGTGCCATCTTTTCATTCTGCAAACTTTAAACACTTTTGTGCTCTTGTGCAAGAAGATCCTAGGAGAACATGAGGGATGGGGAGTGGGGAGAAACAGAAAAATTAAGAGAGTACAACAGCAAGACAATTCCCCAAATAACAATTTTCTGCATAGTATAGTAGTTATCTGCCTCTTTTCTAATTGTAAAGAACATAAAGAGAAGTATTTGAATTAATTTTCAAAGACAACAGAAAATTAGATATCTTAGCTTTTCTGAAGTACCAACATGGCAAACAGATACAGTTTAGGATGTAAAGAAAAACATGAAAGGAAAAGAATTATAACGACATTTGCATGCAATTTATTTGTCATCTCAGGTTAATATACATGTCACGAGATAAAGGAAAGGATTCTCACTTTCCCTAATCTAAACAAGAAATCCAAAACACACCTTATTATGAAAAGTTAAGAAATGTGTTAACATATTACGTTATTCAGTGTTTGTGAGGATAGGGATTTATATAAAAAGTTGGGCTAGTGTCTCCAAAACACTTACAATTTATATTATAAAGGCGGAAAGAAAAGTAAGCATGTTCTTCCTATTCCTTCCTTCCTTCATTTGTTATGGAAACACTACTCCACCTGGTGGCTTACATTATGCTAGCTGAACTAATACTGCTCTATTAGACAGCAGGTACTATATTTAAAGTCATATGCACAAGCAGAATGCAACTAGGCTAAGGTTTAGTCCTTCCATTTTTGGATTTCGTGACTAGTATTTTCTTGACTTTCAACTGTAAATTTGGTTGTATTATGTTCTCTAATTAAGGAATTTATGAGGGATGAAATGTTTTAGATTTACACAAAAAACACGACACTCTCTCTGAAGTTACACTACTCTCTCTGAGGCTTGATGTATTTTCAAAAAAAAAAAATTTTTCATTAAAATATCAACAAATGCTACATTTTCAATAAGTTACTTTTTTCTAGATTTCTATTTTCTACAGGGAGAACACAATTAATACCCATGGGTGCAATTAGTTCAGGATAAACCGATTTTATAAACTGAGACAAAACAGAATCAAGTCCTCCTTGGTGACATTCAACAGTGCTACAGTTTTTAACAACACTTCAACAAAATTCAGAAATTGTGGTAGGTTGATCATTGCTGGCTACCAGATTGCCACCCAGCCACTCTTGTACTTTCCCTCATAAAAATAATAACAGGGATAAAATAAAGTAAAAAATCTCATGGGTTGGGACCAGTTCATAACAGTGTGCTCTCCACGAGCTGCAGTTCCTTTGGAACTGCACCAGCTCCACCTGCTCCAGCACACAAATCTGTCCTGGCATGGTACCCCATGGACTGCAATGAAATACCTCCTCCACCATGGGCTATCCCACAGGCTACAGATGAATCTAATGTCTGGCACCCAGAACACCTCTTTCTCAGACCTTGAGGTTTTCAGGGCTGTTTCATGCACTTTTTTCATCATTCCTCACACTGCCATGCAGCATTTTGACACTTCTTGAATGTCTTTTCCCAGAGGCGCCACAAGATTGGGTGAGGGGTTAAAGATGAGGGAACCATTTTGCCAGCCAAAAAGTGAAATCATGTCAGAATTAATGCTATGAATGCTATCACAGAGAATCATAAAGGTTCTGAAAGACACCAAAGCTGGTGAGGAACTGGGTGCCACAGGCACCCAGTGCAGAATGGCCTGGACACCAGTCAGGACCTTGATCCCAAATGAACAACCTGAAGCTGGTCTAGAACGGCTCCATTTGCCCCAGGCTTCTACCACCAATGTCATGGACCAGGCCTGCACTACACAGCGGGTGAGAGTTCCTTAAAGACATAGCTTTTCCTCTGGTCACAGTGTCAGCTTAACAGTAGAGACGTGCAGGAAAAGAAAAAAAAATTGATGCCAAATACTTATATATGAGGTGCAGTAGCCCCATTGAATTACCACACCATGCTATCAATCCCAGGAACGTTAAGGCAGCTGCTTCTTCTAGAATCACTTTTAGGTCTCCTCCAAGTTAGCTTATAACATTTTCTACATTTAACAATTTCCCAGCACAAACTGAATTCTCACAGCCACTAACACCTAGCCTTATGCCGGCCTTTTTTTCCCCTCAAAATTCACCAAACAAGGGTATGCATATATCCAAGTCCTAGCTTTGTCAGATGAGCTATGACAGCTTCTGCATCCCTAGCAAGTACTCTCTACTGTGACAAAAGACAGAAAAAAGGGGTCTTTGCACAGGCAAGTAAGGATACGAGAAATCTCCTGATTAAAGGGGTACAGAAATTGGCCTTATTTTGTGTCAGCCATACAGCATCTTCGGAACACAGAGCGATAGTTATTCTTGGGAACAGGCAGTCCAGGAATGACACATCTTCCCTTAATTATTCCAAAATGGACAACTGGATCCATTCCATCTTAAAAAGATTCACCGTTCTCAAATGGAAAGTCCTTGATTCCTGTTTGGCCTTCTCCGCTGAACCTTCCTAAATCCCTAACATCCATGCCTCTGAAAATCTGACCTGCAATGCTTTGATTGAAGCATTTCCTTCAAAAGTTGGATGATGCCTGTGGCCAGATGCCCAGGGAACATGCACTCATGCACCAGCAAAAAATAAAATCACTCCCACAGGAAGACACCAGAATCCGTTCCCTTAAAGCTCCATTTTTAACCTAAGAAATAATGTAAGTAATGACACTGTGATTTGGTACCCTTAGTTGCTTTATGTAGCTTACACCTGTTTTTTGTTTTGTTTTGTTTTTTTTAAATAAAACTTCCTATATGGTAAATTAATCACTTTTGCATGTGTCACTACAGATACTGAGAACTGTACTCATGTAAGATTTACCTTTCCTGCATTAAGAGATGCAAACTACTGTTCATATTATAAATATGGCTGTATGTACTGACTGTACAGTTTCTGAAATGGTTAGATAGTTGCACAAACTCTGAGGAGTCTGAAGAGACAGGACAGAAAGACCTACAGCCATTAAAACAACCATCTTTAAAGCAAACAAAACTGGTGCTTAAAACCAAATAAAACCAGCGCTGTACACACAGTACTGCTTTGGTAGTGCTGCCCTTTGTGGAGATGACATTGGACATGACATTACATGACATTACAGATTTTTCAGCACATCTACGCACCAGTCCACAATGTCTATCAAAAAGTAGGGACAAGCTTGGAAGTCTAAACAATATTTACATGATTTTGTGTTTTGATGATTTTCTTCAGAAACAAAAAAGGCAGAAAAATCCATGTTAACTAAAAGAAAGGGGAGAAACCCTAAGAGAGTTTTACAGGTTACCTACTACAACAATCAGCCTTTTGGGGATGTTCTTATTACTTGGAGGAAGATGTTTAAAAGCTTTAAAGAGTTTCCGCCTTGACTTTATGAAGGCAGATTCAGAAGGTGATGAATAGGACCACAGAAACTACTTTTAATTGAACACGTCGCTAACTTATGCCTGCCTATGCACTTAGGCTAAATTTCCTCTTTAGAAACCTGTAATACGTAAAACCAAGAGTTCATGTCTGCTCATTTTACCAAATACCACTATGGCCTTATGACACTTTTTCTGAGTTGTTACCGATGTTATCAGAATAGAAACCAATCCTTCTGCTTTCATGCTGATATTCCAGTGGTATATTCAGCAACACTTAAGTAGTATCCTTAGGGTTGACACAAACTCCATCCAGCCTTTCTCTCTAGTGAGACCATAGCCAATGACCGCATCACATTTCAGTGTCAGCATAAAACAAACAAACAAAAAGGATCTAACACCTAACAGCAACCTCTTCTGTCATAGTCTAATCACAGCCCATACTTCTGGAAAAAAAACAATACACATGTTAAACAGATATTGAGTTATGAATCAGAAACTATGTTTTCTCATCATGACTTTTTTTTTTAATGAATGTAAATATATACTCTGTAAAATACTGACATCATTTATGCCATTCCATCAAGGAAATTCATTTATCCAGTAAGGAAACAAATTGAAAAAATTATAACAATAGATGGATTAGTTTAATGACTTAAATGTTCTCTTTTCTGCAGTCATGATGGCTACTGTACCACAAAGAAGCAGTAACAAATCAAATCAAAAAACAAGAAAGAATATGAATCCTGAAAGGAGGGGAAAAAAATAAAAATGAAAACCAACACTTCTTCCCCCCCCCAAAAAAAAAGGTCCCTATGCAAATCTTCATCCCTGTCTCCTCCCTAAAAAAAAAAGCAAAGAGTAATAATTATTTTTAAATGAAAAACTCAATATAAGGTTTATGACATGTTCAACATTTTCTACAGACATTTACAAAATATTTATTTTTGCATTTATAAAAATAATGTTCAAACTTCAACCCAAACCACATAGGATCGAAATCTCAGAATGAAGGAAATACATCTCCCATACATAGTATATTTACCTTCATGTTTTTTCAGAGCTGGATACTCTACATCCCATAACACAAGAAATGAATTTTTACATTATTATTTTCAGTGTTCTCTCTATCTGTTAATTACTATTGTACATTTCATAGTGCTATTTAAATAAAGTTGAATACAATTTTCAGCATACTAAAGAAGCCTGGATAAATCACTAAGTCTCGATAACCAAATAAATTCTCCTAAGTATGAAAATTAATTAAGACTAAGAAGCTGCTACCATGACAGTCTGTTGATGATGTACACTGAAATTCAATTTGGCAAATGATCACATTTGATGAGTCATCAGCAAACCTACATACATTTTCTTTGTTGTGCTTTTTTATTTTTCTGCATCTGTGTATGTAAAAGAATATGGCATTTTTATTTCAGGGATACTAAATTTGACTAACTATATAAATTAAAATTTGCATTATTAACTACTATATTGCTGTTACTCAATGATGCATCCTTCAGACTGTTCTAGCTGCTAGACAAAAGAAACTGTTTTGATTCCGACTACCCCAATATTACTATTCTGAGAGTCTGCAAAACAAAAAGCTGACAATAATACAAACCAAGAAAGTTCTTAGGAAAATGGGTTAATCTAGAAAGCATCTCC